ATCTTGTACTACAAGGAGCTACTTTGTGAGTAATTGTTTTCCCCGTTGTTTCCAGGCAAGAGAAGCTGAATCTGATACTCTCATGAATGTGGAAAATGGAAGTACAGTCTTTAGCAAAAGGCCTGCTGTCTGGAGCAAAGAAAAAGACTAACTCTATGGATTAGCTTTTCAAAATCAACATTGAAGTATATAGGCCTATAGAGGAATTATACCCTTGATTAGAAAGTTGTTCAGACTTAATTCTCAAATATTTACAGGTGTGAATTGTCTCACTCAGTACTTTTAGTTTAGTTTTGCGTGCGTTGATAGCCAACCAACAATATTAGTGGGGGAGAGGGGGGGGGGGGGGAGAATTACATGTCATGTCAAAGTTATTGGCCAACCAAATATGGCTCAGTTTTAGCAAATACTTGCTGGATATTTTTTACATCATTTCACATATATATATATAAATATTCCAATTTTGCTTCCTTGAATAAGCATATAAACATCTAATGGCAAATCTTGATTGCAATATTGGAACACATTTTAGGATTTCAATCCTCTATTTTCAATCTCACTTCCTCAATAAGATGCTGTCAACTAAGAAAAATCTACGCACTTCACTCTTAGCCGTTTGTATTTTATAGGGAAATAGGATTGGGGATTGGAAGAGGAGATATAGAATTTAAAACCCGCATTATTTTATGAGTGCATTTAGATAAATGCTTATTTGATCAATATGTTCTTTTTGAAACAATAACTAATGTAATAAATTTAACAATTAAATTTATTGAGATAATGTGAAAATAACTTTTTTTATAAGCTATTTGAAGAAATTTATTGAAATAAGTTGAAAACAACTTGTGAGAGTGTTCATAAGCTCTTCCAAACAAATCCATGTCTATGAAGAGTGAGATTTGAGATCTTCAGCTAGAATACGTTGTTATCACAATTCTCCCAACGATTTTCATAAAACAATAATTTTTCTTCTGGTCACATCTAACAAGAAAAATTCTACTGTGATAGGAGTATGCTTGATTGAGGTGAGCATTAAAAGAACAAGAAAAAAAGTGAAAAATGGTAGTTTTGACCTATATACTTGTGGAATGTACTCAGCATGCATAAATTGCGGGTTATGAAAGTTTTGACCTATATATTTATTTCAAATGGTGGGTCGTTGAGAAAAGTGAGAGTGAGAGACAAAAAAGATGAAAATAATGTGTATGAGCAATGATTCAAAACAAAGAGAAATATAGGATGGATGTAGTGCATGAGATTAAAATTAAATTTTTTGTATTAATTTAATGTTAAAAAAGTTTTACCTCACAAGTAAATCCAAAAAATAAAATAAAATAAATTAGCTTGCTTCTTTACAACCTACCGAGTAAGCATATCAACCCTTATAATTCAGCATCTAAACAAGTTATAAATTCTTAGGCACAATCTCACATAAAAATTATGGGCTTTGTTTGTCAATTTTGCAATAAATTAAAATGTCTAATGACAAAAATAGAATAAATTCGTAAATTAATTCTTTAGATAATAACGATCGTGTATATTAATTTTTTATTTTTTAAAATTTTCTTATTAGTCTTTAAATAATAGTTTATTGCGTAGTTAAGTTCTTTTTACATTAAAGAATGTATTTAACTTTTACTGACATGTTATATTAAATAACATTTAAAATGCTAAAGCGATATTATTTAATATAAAGTTAGGGAAAAAAATGATTGATTTTCACCATCGCCACTACTGTAATGTTTGATGTTTCCTTCCTCACTCACGACTTTCCCAGTTACCCCTACCACCTCTCTTTGTTTCTGTCTTCCTCTTCAACCACCATTAAGACTTGCTTAGAGCTCACAAATTGTAGACCAAACTTGCTAGCCCAACCTTGAACCACCATGATCCTACCTTCATCATCGGCCACACTATAGATATTGCAAACTCAATACCCCTTCACCATAAACTGAACGCAGATATTCGTCCACACCCATCACGAATAGAACACACGCAAACCAGTTATAATCTGCAGTGAGTCTCCTTCTTCCTTGGACGTAAACCCATCCACTACCGTTCACTTTGTTGAAATCATTATTAGACTGCTTATCTCAATCTAAAATGTGATGTACCCTTGCATTTGTTAACATACCTGCATTTGCGAGGAGAAAGGGGAGTTTGGGGCAACCAGTGATGTAAGAGGTGGGGTAATCAAAGACAGGGAGCAAGAAGTGACAATGATGGCTAGGAATGTCAAAGATGACAACAAGAGACAGTGACAAAAAATGATTAAATTATTCTTTAACCATATGTAAAACAACATTGTTATAGCATCTTACATGTCATGTAACCAAAAATTATAATTTTTCAGCTTGTTATATAGGACCAATGAGACAAGATTAAAAACTAAAGAACTAATACATATAATCACTTACTTTTTACTTGAGAACTATTTGATGAACTAAATTGGTAGTAAAAAGTTTTACAGCACATACTTTTTACTTAACCACTTTGCTGATAGGTACACTCAGTCACTTGTGTTTTTCAAAGCAAATATCTAATAAGAATTATTTCAGAAGTTAAGGGATGATATCTATTTTAAAAAAAGTTTATAGTTTATATATGAATTTGAGTAACTTTGTTGATTAGTGCACTTGTGATATACTATTGGATGTGGATGTGGATGTGGATGTGCTTAATGCTTTTTGTTTAGATAAAGTAATTAACTTATATTTTTAAAAAATAAAATAATCATTATATTTAACAAAAATAATTAAAATATTAAATTTAATTTATTAAATTAACCATAATTAAATAAAAATATAAATGAAACACACTATAAATAAAAAAATAATTTCAAATTTCCACTCTTATTAGGATTAAAAATTCTTTAATTTTAGTCTATTAAAAAGTTTCACTAAAATTTCTCAATTTTTAAAATTAAATATCTAAACAACAAATTTTACCCATGAAATTGTCAATATAAAATTATAAATCCTTTCAAAAAAATATTTACTCACTTAAAATATCTCATCCAAATACACTTAAAATTATTTTTCTCTCTACACTCTCTGAACATGAGCACAATATCATCCAGTGGGAGGATTGTATGATTGAAAAATAATTTTCTATCAAAAGTTTTTAGACAATATTGTTATCAACATATTTTTTAATTATTAATTAAAGTTTATAAAAATAATGAAAATATAAAATAAATAGTTAAATTAAGATAAAAGTAAAAATAATTAAATTAATGGTGAGACTTGCCTAATTTTAATATTTTTTATTAATAACTAAAAAATGTTAAAAATAATATTTTATTAATATTTTTCTTTTACATTTCATTCATACTGATTTGGATCCTTTAAAATAAATGAAAAAGAACCTAGTCACCGCTCGTCTAAAATTAGTTGTGTTTATAAAATATTTTAATTTAAATTATTTAAAAATAAGCTGCTTTTTTCACATTTTACTTTAAAAAAAGTTAATTTCTATACTAAAATTAAAAAAAAAAATATTTAGAAATTCGGTTGGGTTAAACTAGTTCAAATTTAGTGTTTTCAAGTTTCATCATATTAGGCCGAAAATGCTCTCATTTAAATAAGTAGAAACAAAAATAGTATATAAAGATTAATAAAATTTAATCTATGTTTATAACATTAAAAAAATGAAATAAAGGAAGTAATATGTGTAAAAATAAAACAGTTATAATACAAATAAAATGTTAACTATATTTTGTAATTTATGTATTCTAATATTTCTCTTATCTAGTAATGTCAGATCAGATCAAAAATGGCTCACGTAGAAAATGACATCTTAAGTTGAGCACAGCTAAAAAATAATTAAAATAATCCGATTATAAAAAAATAGATTTATATTCTTTTAGTTTATTTCTTTGATAAATCATTAAAAATGTTCCAGCGACATTAAATATTTTATAGATGTCTACTAGTATTAAGTGAAAATTCATTATACTAATTCAAAGCATTATTATAGCAGTTCTCGTAATATATAATAAAAAGTTATTGAATGCAAAAGCAATTCATTAATATTTAATACAAATTATTAAATGGTAGCAATACATTTAATACTGAGAACATGTATTTAATATTTATTACTAACAAGAAAAACATCACAATGTATCTTTAATGTTATTTGAGAAACTTTCTTCAATTGGAGTGAAGATATTTTTCAAAGTATGAGAAATATTATCACCATCAGCACTTTTCAATATATTTATCTAAATATATTTTATTAAAATTTAATTTTGATATGTTATTAATGTATGTTTTTTATATTATAACTATAATTTTAAAATTAACTATATAAAAATTAATAATTTTTACTAATATAATAATCATGCTATAAAAAATATCATTATATTTTAATTAATTTTTTATTGTCTAAATTCATTGAAAAACAAAACAATGGAAAACGTTCATTAATTAATTAAGTGTGCTTCAATATTCTGGGAGTCTTAATAATTACTAATATTTATTTTATAAGAAAAGTCATACAATCAGATGTCTTAATAGCATTAATTAAAACTATAGTATAAAGTTTTTTTTATTAATGACATGTAATACCTTTTTTACAAAAGATTATTTTTTATTGGAGTTTTATTAATTAATATTCATAAAAAAATTAATTTTTTTTATTAAAAATTATGTTAAACTGTATTAAAATTTTTTAAAATATATTTATTTTAAATTTTTATTCAATACTAAGTATTTTTATTATTGATTTTTAAAATTTACGTAACATTAAACATGACAATAATTTATATTTAATATATTTAATTTAAGGCATTGACACGATTAAATATTATAAATTCTAATAAAAAATATTATATAATAATAAAATTATTAGTCTGTAGGAGTTAGGACACTGAAAACTCAGAAACAAAATCGCGTTCGGTAATGCTGACGGAACTGAAGGCATTTTTATTTTTTGGAAGGTCAATAATTATAATTATGCGAAATTACCAAACCCCATTTTCCATTAATTAATTTAATTTTGTTTGATTACTAATTGTCCATTGCTTCCTCAGTCACCAGTAGATGTGCTGTGCAAGCGCGTACTCATAAATAATAATTGATCTTGACGAAGCCTTCAGCTTCTGCATCGCAATGCTATTCCCATTCCCAACACACACCACGGTTTTTGGGAACATTAATAACACCGTGCCCAATTGATGCTCTCCTTCTTCATCGTGCTTACCTGACCAGCCACCACCACCACTCACTCTCTTCCTACCCTAAACCGTTGCTTCGATCTAAATCTTAGCCTTTTTCTCCCGAATCACAAACCCCTTTTACTCAATTCTCATTATTTTTCTCCCTTTTTTCTGCTGTCGGCTAGTGGGAGGGTAAAGTTGTTATTTTGTTTTCTGGGTTTGGCCAATTCTGCTGTTCAGTGTATTGTTCTTGTGATTCGCCTGTTGTTTGATACCCTTTTGAAAATTGGGAGTGCTTATTCTTTTGTTCTGATTTGTTTTGTTGTGGTTTTTCAGTTTTTGGAGCAAAGACAAAGATGGGTGAGGGAGAACGTTTTCAGTTGGGGACGGTGGGCGCGTTGACTCTTTCTGTGGTCTCATCTGTGTCGATTGTAATTTGCAATAAGGCGTTGATGAGCTCACTGCATTTCATTTTTGGTAACTTCCCCCGTTAGATTGTTGCAAATTCATTCATTTCTTTTTGGCTATTTATCTGTATTGCATCTCTTTCATTTCATATCTATTAACCTTAACAAGCCTTGTGTTTCTGTGATTTTATTCTTGCCGTAAGAATTGAAGATTAACCCTTCCCTTCCTGTTGTGTCTTTTTGTTGGAACTTGGAAGTTGATCTATTTTACTTGCTGCTATCCGTTATGCTGTATTGTACTAGTGGTCTAGGCTAAGTACTAACCTAGGGTGTGCATGGTTATTTAGGTGGAAATTTTGGAATGAAAGCTATGTTATACTTGCTTGTTTGAACATAAACATGAGAAGGTGGAAATGGAAATGTACTTCATTTTCACCCTTGGTTAACTATGAATTTCTACCAATTGAATCAACCATGATCTCAAATCTAGATGTATTAATTGGAGATTGGATTTGCCAAATTTCACGATTTATTGTTTCCCTTTATGTTTGGAATTTAGTTTCTAGATACTGTTCGTGTGAATGTGACATAATCTGTTGTTATCCCTTCTTTTTCTAAATTAATATTGCCTCTTTGGAAGTATCAATTGTTGTCTTATTCGCTAGCCGTTACGAAGTTAATGATTTCATTTTCCTTGTTGCTCTTTCTAAATCTACATTGTCACTTGGTAGTGTGAATAACGGATAAGTTGCCTCATTAAGAATGCAATTATTGATCAATTTTTGGGTGTGCCTAGCCCTAAACATTAGACATCTCTTAACTTTATATGATTTTTTGTTTGCCAACTATCTGTCCTATCCATGAGAAGGTAAATTTATCACCTCAGAAATGTGGAGAATGATGATGATTTTGGTTATTTCCATGTTGTATACAAATTTGAGATTCCCTGTTTACATTCAGTTTATTGTCTGAAACTTTCAAGTTTTTTAAATTTGTCCTTTGGTATGCAGCAACAACTTTGACGAGCTGGCATCTGCTTGTCACTTTTTGTTCCCTTCATGTGGCACTCAGAATGAGATTCTTTGAGCACAAACCTTTTGAGCAGAAAGCCGTAATGGGGTTTGGGATTCTAAATGGGATCTCAATTGGACTTTTAAATTTGAGCCTGGGGTTCAATTCTGTTGGCTTTTATCAAGTATGGTTGTTTGTTATGGTTTCTGTTTTTCTCATGTGTTATTTGATCATCCTTGCCTCTGAACTTCTCTATGATATTTCTTTTCAGATGACTAAGCTGGCAATCATTCCTTGTACTGTACTTTTGGAGACCATTTTTCTTGGGAAGAAGTTCAGGTTCCATTTGGCTTCCAACCAATACTATGGTTTTATGATTGATTGTCAATATATACTTGAAATATCTTATAAAAATGTATGTAATGTTTAACGAAAGGATTTATTCATTTACCTACCATTTTTTTTCCTTTTGTTCTTGATTTATCATCTCTCTCTCATGTTGTTTTGACCTGAAGTATCATTTGTTTCTAATTTTCATGCTCATTTGAAGCAGCATTGTGTCTATTTGCAATGCTCATTTCTGAGCATAGCTGCCTTCAGTACTTTTTCCAGAAATAAAATTAATTGTTCTCTTTTCATTGTTACTGCAGTAAGAGAATTCAAATTTCCCTTACTACCCTCCTTCTGGGTGTTGGGATTGCAACTGTCACGGATTTGCAGCTCAATGCTCTGGGCTCTTTCTTATCTTTTCTAGCAGTGATTACAACTTGTGTTGCTCAGATTGTATCCTTAAATTAATTTCCAATTGTATTAGCGCCTAAAATATTTAGCAATACTGTGAGATGAATTTTGTGATAGATTTCCACTGTGGTACTGGCATATTTTATATGCACTGTTGTTAACCATACAAAAAATGGTTCTTGAAGATATTATGCTGCTAACTATATCAGAAAAGAAAACTTGAAACATTTATTTTCTTCTCTGAGGTACATGAGCTGGCTGAAGAACTAATCATATTCCCAACTTTGTATCTTCTTAGGTTTTCGTTTAAAATGTTCAAGGCTTTACATGCAGACCCCCATTTTTGGCCTGGAGCCACTTTCTCTCTCTCTCTTTCTCTCTTTCTCTGCTTGCCTTCACACAAGTCCATTTTCTTTATCTAGAGTGTCATTCATGTTAGTTGAACATAATTAGAAGAAAATATTACCTTATATTGCCCTTGAAAGCTTTACAAAGATGTTTGTCTGATTTTTTATATTGGGCTATCAATTTTTTCTCTGGATGTCTTGTCCTTAATTAGTGGCTTTTAGATGACAAATACTATCCAGAAGAAGTACAAGGTTTCTTCCACACAGCTTCTGTATCAATCATGTCCATATCAAGCAGCAACTCTGTTAATCTCTGGTCCATACCTGGATAAACTTTTGACCAACCAAAATGTATTTGCTTTCAAGTATACAACACAAGTGACGGTAAGAGTTAAATAGTCTTCCAAGTTCCAACTCTCTCTCTCTCTTTTATTGTGTTCTCAATTGTTTGTTTCTGCATTGCAGGTTTTCATAGTTCTTTCCTGCCTTATTTCCATCTCTGTCAATTTTAGTACCTTCCTTGTTATTGGAAAGACATCTCCAGTCACCTATCAGGTTCTTGGACACCTGAAGACATGCCTTGTATTGGCATTTGGTTATATCTTACTCCATGACCCATTTAGCTGGAGAAACATACTGGGTATTTTGATAGCCATGCTCGGGATGATTCTATATTCTTACTATTGCACTATTGAGAATCAGCAAAAAGCTGTTGAAACTGCAGCACAAACATCCCAGGTTTGTTTTTAACTGGCTTTCTTTCTGGCTTTGCATTGTCACGACCATTTACTACAAGAACATTCTGTGACCCTTTTTCTTCAAAATTTTTCCAGGCAAGAGAAGGTGAATCTGATCCTCTGATTAATGTAGAAAATGGAGGTGCAGGAGTGGGTGATACTGTTGGGCAGAAGTCCCCTGTATGGAGCAAAAGCAAAGACTAGTATATTTATGGGCTTTGTTAAATTATTGTTAAGAACAGTTATAGTCCTTATGGAGGGTTAACACCCATAATCCATATGGAATTAGGAAGTGCTGCCAAACGCAAGTTTCAAGTGGTTTTTCTAAATAGCATTAATATAGTATTTTAAGAATCGTTTGCCAACCAGCAGTATTAGGGAGAGGAACTAGTTCATGGTCATGTCGTAATTTTATTGGCCTACAAATATGGCTTTTAGTAGCATACATTTCCTGGTGGTGTTTTCACATCTTGTTACAATTATAATTTTATATAGATATTCAAACTTTTTCTTGCCATGAATAACATTTAAACAAACATTTACCTGTAATTATTTTTCTCTTGTTTTCTGAGTTTCTCTCGTCTCTGTTTCAAGTCTGTCCTGATTGTATTCCTATACCAACAATTTTGAGCGTGCGGATTGAGTTAGGTTCTTTTGTTTTTTTCGGACGATGATTTAGGTTAGCAGATTATTCGGTCGATTCTTTTCGGCCTAATTACTGGATCGTTACTGTTCTGCTTTGGGTTGTGTTGGACCCTTTTGTGGGCACCACCCTTTTAGGGCTCCCCACTGAATATGATGTGTTTAGAATCACATATTGGGCTAGAGGAGATGCTTATAAGTTCACGACAAAAAAATTTATATTTTGTTATGAAATTATGTTTATTTTAACATTATTAATGAATGATTGAAAACTCGATAAAACAACATTATATCATATTTTAATGTGAAAGTTATAGCTTTTAATATTAAAATAAATTTGCATTTGAATATATTTAACGTTGATTCAAACATATTAGTTGTAACTTTTATATTAAATTTATGATTATAGGTTCTTTAAGGTGTTTTTAACCACATACCATGTAAGCTTTTATAAAGTGTGTAGTAGTTTTAACCAAAATACTAAAATGAAATTGCAATCAGTTTTAATTATTTTTTATTAACTATTTTAAATTAGTCCCTCCTTTAAAATAAATGAACAGCATAAATCCTTCTTATAATTAATTTCAATAGTTTTCTCTATTATTAAATTTAAATGTTAAAATACTTTTTATAAACATATTGAATGTATCTATTTTGAAAATTCAAATAAAATAAAATAAAAACAAACTGTTGAAAAATAATAAAATATGATGTTTTAGGAGATATAATAAAATTCTTCTAAAATATCTGTCGTTATGTATAATTAGCGATTGATTGACATTAACATGTTAAGTTAGTACATTTTTTAATAAAATAAATGCAGTACAGATTTTTCAAGTGATGATAAGGTGTTGAGGAGAGGGGACCACAATAGAAATTTTTTACGCTTGAATTGAAATCCTGTTGTCACACTGGTAGTGAACATAACTGGGATTAAAAGTGACAATTAACTTGTTTTAAATTTTGTATGTATTTACTCCTTTACTAGTTTTATTCCTGTCCAGCACAAATGGACATAAGATTAATTATATATTATTTACCTGCTTAACTCGTGACATATCTGCTGTAACGCTCTCTTGTTCACGCGTGTAAACTCATATAAGTTTATTCAATTCAAAATCATTTTTCTCAAAACTAGTTATAAAAACTGTGTAATTAAACCACCATTTTTTTTATTTGAAATATATAACTAAAAACAAATTATTATTATTATAATATATTATTTCTTTTATAAACCCACTCACCTCTGTTGGAGCGGCTCGGAATCCTCCACACTGGTGCAGTAACAGAAGGGTCTCCGTTGTCTTTAGCAATGGCCGTGCGAGCCCTATTGAGCAGAAAAACCCTAGCCTCCGTGCTCCGCAATGACGCAAAGCCAATCGGAGTTGCCGTAGCCGCAGCTTCAGCAACTCATTCCCGCGGCTTGCATGTCTACACGCTTCCCGATCTCGATTACGACTACGGCGCCCTGGAGCCAGCCATAAGTGGCGAAATCATGCAGCTGCACCACCAGAAGCACCATCAGACTTACATCACCAATTACAACAAGGCTCTTGAGCAGCTTCATGATGCCATCGCCAAGGCCGATTCCTCTTCCATCGTTAAGCTCCAGAGTGCCATCAAGTTCAATGGCGGAGGTCTCTCTTTATTTTTTCTCGATTTACTTTTTGGTTAATTAGATGGTAAATTAGGGTAACTGCGTTATTTGTTGGTTGGAATTAAATCGATTCGTGAATTGGTAATTGTGGATGGATTTTGTGGTGACCTTTGTTGATGATAAATGAGATATTAAAGAGAAGTAGGGGATATGGAATTTGCTTTACACTTTTCTGTGAATTTGGTAGTGATTAGTGAAGCGAAGGATTATATGTCAGGTACTGATGCACTGATGCACGGATACTTTGTTCAACGGTGGGTTGCATCATTGTTTTGTAATCGTGGATACTTAAACTAAGCCTGATTTTAAAATGAATGAAACGAGATTTTCAGAGACGGAGCAAGGATATATTTTCTATGATTTTTTATGTTGCTTAATTTAGCTCATGTATAACTGAGTATCATTCACTGCAGGTCATATCAACCATTCTATTTTCTGGAAAAATCTGGCTCCTGTTCGTGTAAGTTTGTATCTTGATCTTGTTTTATAGGAAGTGTTTTGTCTTCGGTGGTTCTTTTACCTAATACTTTGCCTCTCGTGCAGGAAGGAGGTGGTGAACCACCCAAGGGTTCCCTGGGATGGGCCATTGACACACATTTTGGTTCTTTAGAAGCATTAATACAAAAAGTTAATGCTGAAGGTGCAGCGCTACAGGGGTCTGGATGGGTGGTAAGTTGTGCAGATTCTGAAATTCCTGGCTTATCTTCTACCCTTGCAAATCATTAGAGGTTAATGTTTCAGTTGTTATTTGAAATGCCTTGTTTCCTTTTACTTAATTTGTAATGCTTTGCCAGTGGCTTGGTCTGGACAAAGAGTTGAAGAGGCTTGTGGTTGAAACTACTGGCAACCAGGTAAACTACCCCTTCCCCTTCCACCTCCAATGCTCCTCTTTTTCACATGATCCCAAGAGACTGTGTAGATCAGTAGATCAACTATAGCACATGAAAAAAATTTAGCGAATGAAAATAGTCTCCTTGTTTTTGGTTTGGCCTTCAATTCTACCCGTTTGTATTTCTGTTGTATATTTTGTAACACCATTCAAGATTCTTTGACGGTTTATTGCTATTACAAATAGTCTATATTCATTACATTAACACAACGAGATTCAGCACTCAAGTACATGTTCCTTCTGCTGACTTTTTTAATTTAATCTTTGATATCTTAAAGAATAGATAATGCTCTAAACAATGTGTTATTATTGTAACATGGCTCTGCAAACTGTGTTTGACTTTTGAGGCTCTGAGCTTATTTAAAGGTATAAATATATGTAGTCTCTATAGCTTCACTCACTTATTAAAATTGGTTGCTATACTTTTTTCTTATTTGGAATTGGGTCCTTACATACATTTTATTAAATTTATAGTCAAGTCCTTACCTACTACCAAAATTCTTATTTCCCCTTTAGAAAACATCTTGTCTGGTGGATAGAATGTGATGTATGCATATCAAACTATTTGTATCTGAGTATGGAAACCGTGTTTATTTGTCCTGCCACCGTTTTTGTTTTCTGCAGTCTCGTATGTTCATTTTCAGTCAGGCTCATTGCTGAGATGGAGTGATCTCTCTAGTTCTCTCATTTTTCTTTCTTTTTTTTACATCAGCTCTCACCGCACGAGGACCTGCTGCCACCTTATTAGTTTTACCTGATTTGTCTCTCTAAAGTCTTGGTTCTATCTGTCTTTTCTTATATGCTTTTCTGATGTGGCTCTTTACCCGCTACACTATTTAATAATTTTTGTCTAGAGCTAACCACCAGAACACCAACAGATCTCAGATGAACATTTTCTCTCTAGCTCTATTTAACCTCTGCCACTGAATCCATGGCTAACTTATAGTTGAAGGGTGCAGAAGCTATTTGGCATGTGTTCCTCTCTATTTTTCTAGATCTGGTAAGAGAAGTTTTAGCAATATCTGTTCAGCTTTAATGAAGTTATAGTGATTAAAATTTACAGACTTGATTACAAATTTTTATTATCACCGGGACTCAATTCCAAATTTAAAAAACGCAGGGACCACTTTAAAATTGAGTGACATTGTTGGGACAAAATATATAATTAACCCTTCCTTTTACAAATGTTAGTGGCGTTCAGGATATAGAAAGATTGTTATAGTGGAAACTGGAGAGAAGAGAAGATTTTAACAGTTGTTCCTCTTTCCTTGTTCAGGATAACGGATGCTCTGTGAAAATTTGTTTCTGGTTTGTTAATTTTCAGATGTAATGTTAGAACGTTTTATTTGCAGGACCCACTGGTTACTAAGGGACCAAATTTGGTTCCATTGCTTGGAATTGATGTTTGGGAGCATGCATACTACTTACAGGTAAAATTTTGAACTTGGTGATCCACTACTGATAGTGTGGTTGACATTATTTGAAAGCAGTTTTTTTCCAAGTATTGTGATTATGACTAACGAGAAATGTTGGCTTCTTTGGGATGGTTGCAAGTTTTCAGTCATTGGTTTTCAAATACAAATTTCAAACAAAATGTGTTTGACTAAAATAAAGTTGAATTGTTTTTTAATTCAGTATTGAAACACTTCAGAAATATAGAATTTTTTTTTTGAACAAAATAGTTACTAACTTTCTTTGTGCTGAAATTTGACCTTCAAACATGTTTCTAGAGCTTTTATGATTATTTCCATCTTGATAATTGATATTCCTGAGTGGTTCTAGTGAATCAAAATGTGAAATAGATCTTCTTATTAACTATTAACCCAAACTAATATTGGAGACAAGGAGGAAGTGATGCCATATTGATAGGAATAGAATGATATAAAAGGAGATAGTGTTATGATGAAACCAAAGATGGTTTAGTCAGAGCTCTTATTAAGCAGAAACCAGAGCCAAGGCTCCTCAGAGAATTTAAGAGCATGTTTGTTTCCAATTTTTAAAAGAGTTTTCTCTTTTTAAAAACTAAAAATACTCTGTCCAACAATAACCAAAAAGCAATTCTTATCACTCCCCTCTCCCCCCCCCCCCTCTCTCTTCCTAAAAGCATATTGTATGGTACAACCAATTGGCCAGCTCAGCAACATGTAACAAACTCTCACCCCCAACACACTTCTTTTTCTTACGTGTACAGATTTTCCATATTTTGGGCTTCCCATGAATAGAGCCCACCAGCTGACACTTCTTGTCCTACCTCATGATCCACATTACTCATATTTGGTATTCTATCACATATATTCCTCCAAAGTTTCACAACTTCATGATTAACTTCATATTAAGATGTCTTATATTGACTAAAAAAAATACAATATAGCCAAGATACTCTGGAAGAATTGGACAATCGTCCCTTTCTTTGAGTTAGCTTTTGGAGTTGAATTGGACTTGGTTCATTTCTAATATGATATCAGTCAAGTTAGGATGTTGGGCGACTCATATATGTTTAGTCCTGCGAACGTTATGCTTAAGATGTCTAGTTTTTAAGCATGAGGAGGTTGTGTTAAGATGTTCTAATACTGACAAAATACTTTTTATAAGATTTGAATCATCCCCCTTTTATCCCTTTCCCTGCCCTCCCAACTAGCTTTTGAAATTGAATTAGGTTCAGTATATTTATTTTAATTCCATTAGTTTTAAATAATGAAATGAGGGGAATGTTCGTAAATATTTTTATTTTTTACTTTTAGTTGGAATGGTTACATTTCTTTGACAGCTTACTTGATAAAAAAAGCAAATCAAGAGCTCACTTAAGTTTATTATTATTTTAAGAATTTAGGTCAATGATAGTTACAACTTACAATAGAATATTCATTTTTATTCCTCTATGTTGGTTATGAGTTGGAATTTAATTAAGATTTCCTCTTTCTCTCTATCCCCACTGTCTGGGATAAAAAACCACACATACGTGCATGCATCAACACTTGCATGTACTTTCTTGTAAGTCTTCTTAAATCAGTTGTGTTCTTTTAGAAATCGTACATTCAATTGTGCTTCACCTTCCCTTTGTTGTAAAGAATTTATCACGATTGCAGATAATGAGGATGAGACTTCATTTTCAGCAATTTTTGTCTGTTCCTAAAGAGTACACAAACATTGGAAATAAATTTGTATCATTTGTCGTCACTTAATGATGTTGAAACTCATATCGTGCTATTATTTGGCGATTAGAAAGAAAATAAAACATCAGTTTTTATTTGCATCAGTTTTTAAAAGATTTTCTGATGTATGCTTTTATTTTTCTTGTTGCAGTACAAGAATGTTAGACCAGACTATCTGAAGAATATTTGGAAAGTTATTAATTGGAAATATGCCAGTGAAGTGTATGAGAAAGAGAGCTCTTAGTCTGAAAATGCTACTTGTATGGAACTTGAGATGACAGGTTTGCAGCAGGGTTAGAGATGGAATAAAGTGATGTGATGTAATAGATAACACTGTCATTAGGCTCTGGGTTCTTTTATAGAATAATTACTTATATACTTTACTGAAGAACCACGAGCGATATATGGCTGAATTTCTTGCACTGATGGTACATGGAAAACCTTTTTACGTTACTAGTGTAATTTCATTCTTGAGTTATGGGTGTGATGTATTTTTAAAATTCTTTACTTAATGATTTCATGTACGATTTACTTGTTGTTTTTTCTTTTTTAATAAAGTAGTAAGTTCTACATATTATATACAATTTATATATTTGAAAATTTAAAAGTAAAAGTTGTATATGTCATGTATGATTTATGGTTTATAATTAATACAAGTTGAATGTTACATATACAGCTTTGATTTTTAATTTAAAATAAATGTATTTATGTATTAGAGTTAATAAAATATGAAAAAAAGGCACTGTAAGCTATATTTATATTTTTAATTTCTTTTTCTCTTGTTTTAAGTTTATTTATGTCTAGCACATGCTACTTTTGACTAAAATTATTAGTAATATAGTTAATATTAAGAGTGACGTTAATATTTAAAAGTTCTGCGATGTTATTTGTAAACAAAAATAACATCACTGATATATATATATATATATAAAACAATGTCTTCAATGAAGAATTTTCCTCTTTTAATATAGCAATGATTAGTATACAAATAATTTGAATGTGCAGAGTTTGTTAAATTTAACAGCGAGTGAATATATAATTGCAATAATTACAATGATGTGTATATAATTATTTTATGTTTAAATATATTTTCGTTTCTATACTTAACATTGTTTTTTAATTTAGTTTATATATGAAAAAAGTTTATAGATTTATCTTTATACCAAAAATCATCTTTGCTTTGGTCTCTAGTTGTCAATGACTGTCATAAAATTATCAATCAGGCTAAACGAAATTTCAACGTGGCAACTAATGAAGTGTATTAAATTTTAGTTAATCAAAAAAATAAAAGCATCTGAAACTTTATAATTTAAAATAAATTAAGTTTGATCAAGGAAAGTCGTACGACAAAATCAATTGGAACTTTATTAAAAATTCTATTGAAAGGGTTGGATTCGGTGAATGCTTTGCAGATTTGGTCTTTTCTTATTTTTTCCTTCCTCCGTGTGTATTAACGAAAATAGTGAACTTTTAGAGCAAGTTTTGCCTTCTAAAGGTACAGCTACGATGACTATTTATCCCCTTATGTTTTTGCTATCTATACAGGAAAGTTAGCTTATTGCATTTAACATAAAATAAATTCACGTAACTGGAAGCCAGTTTGTGTCGGTAAGAGGGACCTGAATTATTTAATTTATTTTATGTTGATGATATCATTTTAATTACTGAAGTATCTTTGAATCAAATTAAAATAATTCAATTTGTGTTACAACCTTTGGAAGCTTCTGGTTAAAAATTTGATTATAAAGATTAATTTGTAATTTTTTCAGTAATCTTAATTTTAAATTTAAGCGTATTATCAGCTAAAAGATTGTTATTAAATTTTTTAATGTTTTGAATTCTTATTTAGGAACTCATATTTTCTATAATATGATTACTAAAAACAGACATTCTACTTTGATATATAAAATTAAGAAGAAATTAAATAATTAGAAGCCTAATACTCTTGCATTTGGTGGTAGTGACCTTAACTCACCCTAGTATTATTAGTATCCCAAATTATCTTATGTAGTCTCATTTTGTCCTTCTTGGTATTTATAAGAAAATTAATATTGTTAGATCTTTATTTTGAATTCCTCTTCTATTCAAAGGAAATTTAATTTATTAGGATAAAATATTCTCTCTTAATTTAATTCCTCTTCTATGAGTGTAGGTCTTGAAATGAAAATATAAAATTGCAATTAATGATCTGATTGTTAATAAAACTCGTTAGAATTGTTCAATTTTATGGAAAGTATTTCACACGCTTGAAATATCACTAATGAGTTGTTTTGGATTATTGAATTGTTCAATTATATGATCTCATTTACAGTTTTCTCTCTCTAAATATTAATGTTGAATTTGATACAATTACCTTGTTTCTTCAGCTGATGAAAAAATTTATCTTAAATATACACATGATTTAGTTGTTTTTTTAAAAGCTATTGTTGTTGGTCTATTTTTTAAGTTAATTTGAAATTAACTTGGACCACAAAAAAATTAAATTTTTCTATGGGAAGTTGTCCATGACAAGTTATTCACTGATAAAAAATGTTGAAAAAATGTTTCTCTAATTTTATGTTCTATGTGTAATTGTGCCTATAAATCTATTATAGATATTGTTGGAGATTGCTATTTTGTTAGTGAATTTTAGATCTCTTTAATTAAGAGTAATAGTAGTAGTTTCTTTCTTCATTTTGCCTTGGTTTGAGTAAATGGTTTGTGTTTAATATGAAGAACAATTTTAATAAGGTGAATAATTGAAATATTTTGTTTGAAGTGACTATAGAGATTATGGAATAATAGAAATTATTAGATTTTCAATAATAATCTTATTAATGATAAATTCCTTTGTCTTTAAATTTGAAGTTGTGCAAATTATATTACTTTTCATTATGTTGTTATAGTCCCATTCACCAAAGCTAGAAAGGAGAAAAAAATATTGGTTGAACCCTCCTTAAGAATATGTTGAAGTTGAATGTTGATGGATTTATTAAAGTGCAAGTAAAAAAAGGTGCTTGTGGTGGTTCAATTAGGAATAATCAAATTGATTTTCTAATGAATTTTACACACATGTCAATGCCCCTTATTTATCAAACAATTTTATATTTTTGATTTTATGGTTCAACTTAGATGAGGCTCCTAGCTAAGCTATATCTCGTAATCATCAAATGTAGCAATAGGCAAGTCAATTACAAATTACAAAATGTGAAATAACACAATTTTTGAATTTCCAAGCTATCACTCAACCACATTGAAATTAAGGAAGGTAGAGTTCATAGTTGCTTAATTGCTGCCTCAGAGGAACTCATTCTCTATTCCAAAATTTACTACTTCATTCTTAGTTCTTAGAGAGAAAGTTCTACCTCTAAATCGATAAAACAAAGTTAAGATAAATATTGTAGACCTAACAACATTAAGAAATAGAAAAGTATAATTTAAAACGTACATAAAAAAATTGACATTAGCGAGAAGATAAAATTGATTGAAGGAAAAAAAAAAAATCCTTTAATACACTGGCAACAATGACATAAAGATGAAGGTGTGGTGAAGATATGGTTTAGAATCTTAAATTTGATTTTAGATTTGGGAAGAAGAAGATAGAGTTTTAGAATGTTAAGTTTGACTTCAAATTTTAGAAGAACAAGTTACCAGATAATATTAATTTTTAATTTTAAAATTAAAGGACCATTTAACAATAATAATAGGAAGATATTTTTAAAATAATAATAGGAAGATATTTTTAAAGATTGATGAATAAATAAAATTTTTATTTACTTTTAAATATAAAATTAAATTTATCATTTTGAAAAATTTGTATATCAAATTTCAATAAATTATCATTATTTAAATGAAACATTTAATTACAAATATAAATTAAATTAAGGTTATATGAAAAGATAAATTATTTACTAAGATTAAAGTAAGTGCTTCCTTATAAAAAAAATGTCAAGGTTTGATTCTTACTGTTTTTTACCAAAATAATCAAGATTTGTCTTGATTTAAGTCTTCAAATGATACTGAAGAATGAGTTGAATTTCTAATATACTAACACAATAAAATTGGAATCTTATGATATAATTAGAAAAAAAAAAAAAAACAGAATGATAGATGTCTGCATATATATATATATATTGGGCGTAAGAATTGGGAAATGAGGATGAGATAAACAAAATTAGGATAAAAGTAATTTTTTTTTCTAAGTTATAGGTAATTTTTAGTAAAATTTAAATTTGAGATTATAAATAAAGTTAAAACAACCGTATGCCAATTAATCTGTGTTTAATAATGGAATTAATATATAAATAAAATAGGTAATTTTATGTAACGAATATTTGTATTTACAAATAAATTGATGTTCACCTTTTTTTTTTGTGTGTAAATAGGTACAAGGAAAAAAATGTTTAATTAAAACAAGAGTGGTTCAAAGATTTTGAACCTCGACTCATAATGGGTTTTACTTATTGGGTACATGTGGGTGCAGTTTTTGTTTATTTTTTCGTTATCTCTAATTTAAAGACGATCATTGTAATAAGAAATAAATTTTACACGCCAATCTTTAAATACATATTGAGATAAAATTTGCATCACAAGGTCTTATTACGTAAAATAGAAATTGAGCCTCAGAGAAGATATAAGTGCTAAAACAAATTAAAATTTTCAGAATTTCTTACATCACAAAGCATGAAATTTAGCATTCAACTAAAGTTCATAAATCCCATTTGGCAAAATGATTCATTTAGAGAGCCATTTAAACACCCATTTATGCAGAGACAAACATTTGGACAACAAGCCAATATTCAATAATTCTGACAGTCAGTCCAGTACAAATTTCAGAAGAGTTTAACCACACCACATTAAGGGTCTCTCTATAGCATGAGTTTGAATAAAATGGTTGGAGTGGTTAAAATAAAATTTAATATACAATATTATATTATATATTTAAAAATAAAGTACAATATTAACTCAAATTTGACCATAAAAATAATATTAAATCCAATCCAATTTTAAATGATAGTCTATATTCAATGATGAAATTATAAATTTGATATTAATATTTTACCGAGTCCTTTATCTAAATGCATTTAAAAGAGAATAATCTTCTCCATACTTAATGAATGTTATGATTATTTGAGTATTCAAAAAAGATAAAAGCTTCTATAATATTTTTTAAAAAAAAAAGTATTCTGCAAGTTTAAAAGCAAATAATCAAACAAATAAAATCATACCGAAGTTAAATAAATCATCCATAAATAACTTAAAAAATATTTGAAGATGTTATCATAATTTTATTAATCCTTTAAAAGTTTCTTTATCTTTATTTTGTATTCTATGATTATTACTATAATACTTTTTCTGTTTCTTTTTATGAGAAATAAAATAAAATATTTTTTTATTATAAAAAATAAATAATAAATTTAAAATACATTAATTATTAAATTTTTTATATTCTTTTATTAGTATCATTAAATATACATGTTACTAATTATACTATTTAATATTATGTATATTTTTAAAATAAAATTTATATTTATAAAAAATATAACAGAATTAATTACTTTTATTGATACGGTGATTTAATATTTTATTTCTTATAAAAAAATCAAAAGAAGTAATATTTTAAATTTTTATAAAATTAACAACAGAGAACTTTTAAATAATTAACTCATTGACAAAATATTTTAAAAAATTAATGTGTTGATGATATAATTTTTTTTAAAAAGTAATTTGTTAATTAAATTGTTTGAATGACTAATCGGCAGATTTTCTCATTTAAAATTACATTATATTGTTTAAAATTAAATAAAAGTATAAAAAAATTAAAACATTCGAACTTGGACCTTGTAAAAATTGTAGGTTAGACAGGTTGATGAGATAATCAAACCCGTTTTCTCACACTTAATAAACAAAAACTAAATATAGTGAAAAAAGTTTAAACCTTCAATATTAATTTAATTGACCGCACAACAATTTTCATAATTTGTTTTTGAAGTTAGGGGGTGTAAACTAAAAAACAAAAACCTAGAAACCTACGTTTAAAAGGAGGCATTCTGTTTTCTCTCTCAGTTCGCAGCCGCGGAACCTTGAACCCTAGAGAGTGCCGTCGAACGCTCCGTCACGATGGTTGGTTTCAGATCTGTTCTCATTCTCCTTCGCTCTTGTTCACATGTTTTCTTCTTCTCAGTTTTCGATCTTCTTCTTCGCAGACATTCAAGCGAAGGAATGGAGGTCGCAACAAACACGGCCGTGGCCACGTCAAGTTCATTCGATGCTCCAATTGCGGCAAATGCTGCCCTAAGGTTGTTCACTTTCTTCCGCCTTCAAAATTTTTGCGTCGCATATCAATTAAGTCTTTGTTATTTGTGAAAAAAACCGAACAGGATAAGGCAATCAAGCGGTTTTTGGTGAGGAACATTGTTGAACAGGCTGCAGTGAGAGATGTTCAGGAGGCCTGTGTCTATGACCGTAATGTTCTTCTCTATCTTCTATTTTCATCAAAATATCACATATCTTTCTGTTATTTGATTGATTTTTTTAATTATTATTTGTAGAATACACTCTTCCGAAGCTGTATGTGAAGATGCAGTACTGTGTTTCCTGTGCTATCCATTCTCATGTTGTTAGGGTTCGATCTCGCACTGATAGGAGGAAGCGTGAGCCTCCACAGCGTTTCATCAGGCGCAGGGTAACTTTTATTTAACACTTGTTTTTTATTTCCTTGTTGTTTTTCCCCTATTTGTTAGTCATAGGATTATAGTGTGGTCGAAGTTAATTTGATTGGTCATGTGGATAAATATTTAGAACACTAGCAAGAGCTTGATTTTTGGTTATAATTAGTGGAGTTGCATAATGTCCCTTCAAATTTCTTATGGATGGCTATACTGTGATGCAGGAATCTGAGATTATAGAAATTGTTTTTGTTGCATTCTTGCATTTGAGCTATATAATTGAGGACTTGATTTTCACACATTTGAAACTTGTTTATCTGTCCTTTTGTGATGCGCTTTCAATTTTATTTTGCTTTATAGACTCTTTAAAAGATCAGTTCCTGTCTAGGGTGATTAAAGATTAAAGTCATTTGAGAATGGAAATGTGAAGGCCTGCTATTGAGTAGGATGGCTGTCTACCTTTTTCTATAGGCATGATATTGTGCCAAAACACGTGGAAATTTCATATTCTGAAAATATTTTTTCGGTTAAAGAAAATATAGTTGCTTTTTTGAGTTTATATAGAAGCAAATACATGTTTCGACACAGGTTATTTTAAAGGAAACAATTGCTTTTCTTCAAAATCTCTGAGGAAGTTTTAAGTCATTAATCTTGCAGTTTGCTTTAGGAGAATGATCTATATTTTCATGAATAATAATTTGATTTGGTGGGTGTGAAGTTGTTAGGAATGATTGATCAGTAGATTTTATTTTAATTCTAAATAATGACTTTTTGCTTTACTTGTGTTGGTATTTGATGAGTTTATGTTTCTCTTTTGAAGGATGATGCACCAAGGCCCGGTCAGCCTGGTCAAGCCCCTCGTCCTGCTGGAGTAGGAGCACCGGCCCGTGCTTAAATGCAAATTACAAACTGAGATTCCCTTTGCCATTTATTTTCTTTCTAAACTTCAGTTTTGTGTAGGGAAATTATGTTCTCTTCTAATTGTCCGCCCAAGTCCTCGAACTGTTATATTTTCGTTGTTATAATGTCGGTTTTGATGAGAATGGAACTTTGATAAATTATAAATTTTATCGTTTTGAAGTACCTGAGTCTTATAAACTCAGTTTTATCCTCTACACACCCATCAACAAAAAAAATGGTACGTCTTTCCAAGTAAGTTCGGCTTTATGCGCTCATTGAATTTGGTTGTTTAACAATCTTATTTTTGTCTTATATCTTAAGATGATAATAAATAATAAATTTCAAAGTATTAGTTTTAGTTAGGAAAAGTATTACTTATTAGAGGTTGATGGTTAAATGCGTTTGCAATGTTCTATTGTATTAAATCTTTCACGATAAGGTTCATGGATTGTCAGTGCGATTGAAACTCGATTTATTAGAATTATAATACTTAAACCTGACAAGCCTAGGGTTGAATCACCACCCTTCAATCGTTTTCCCCCGGTACAAGTGCAGTATTATATTGAACGTAAAGGACTACTGGAATGGACTGAACCCTTTTTCAGTTCTTATGTAGTCTACATTTCCCCAATTATAATGATGATATCTGATTTTGAGGTTGACTTTTCCTAAATTATGTTTAAATTAAAAATAAGAATGTTACTAAATTTTGAAAATTAACTGCAAAAAAGCAAGGGAACTGAAACGCTATTTAATATGAACAGAAAGGTTATGAAATTGACGAATAAATTCACTGGCATAACCATACACGTTGAAAAAAATGAGTCAGGTTTTCTTAATTTATGTTTGTAACTGATTTAATACAAAATATTGTCATAATTTCATTTTAAAAAGCTTTTCACGTACATGAAATAACAAAACGCGTTTGCCGTTGTTTGCAACCTCAATTCCTTAAAGTTGGAGATGTGCTTCCTACCCTGATTGAATCTGCATTCACAATAGGACTTGGCATGTTATAGAAGGAAAATGTACCAGTAGATATCACTTGGAGTGCAGATGCCTAAAGAGATTTAGTGAGAGAGAGAGAGAGAAAAGAGAAAAACGTGACAGAGTAATGTGATGAGACACAGAGATGAAGAGGGATGAGAGGAGTCAAGTGGATAATGACTTTATTGGGATGATGATTCCGTTGGCACATCATATAGCTTTATCCTGCTGATATTCATCCAGCTCCTTCCGGTAGTTCGTGGGCTTATTTTGGATTGGCATCTGCCTTTGGATGTAGAAAGGGAGAACTATGATTTGCACTTACCGAGAGTAGACAGATAAAATTATGGTGGTCTAGCTTGCTTTTATGTTGTATGTGTAATATATGTCAACTTGATCTTTGATAAGTAGAAATCTTTATAGGGTAGGCCCAATTCATGATTGAATGGTACTACCTTGAAACATTCATTTGGTGCTGATTAAATTTTGTTGAACTCATGACACATTTTTTCTTCAGAAAAAAACCAGTACCATAGCACATCATCTTACAAGCTTGCCTGTGCTGCGATGACATAGAGGTTCAAAGATGAGATGTTAAGAGCGTTGTATCCAATATATTTTGCTTTATCATTCAAAGAGAAATCATGTACAAGTTCATTCGGACTTTAGAAGGGAGGTGTGATTCTGTTCCTAGGGTCATGGTAAGCTATTCTCACTAAGGCAGAACAAAATTGGTTAACATGCTTACCAATGGCTTGTTCCTATGAAGTTGGAGACTACTACTGGCAACCAATTCTAGTTTCTCCCAAAATGTACATCTGTAAAAACCAAAATGGAAAATTGACTATTATCTTCAAGCTGGAATGGTCTGAACAACCACCAACTACAAAGCAACACTATAACTTCGCTGATGTTATTCTGGATATCCTACAAAAGGTCTATGCGTTAGATACTACTATCAATACATCTTCTCATTACCCTCGAGAAATTCTTCCTCAGTCAACATTGCCACCTTTGGAACTACTAGCACTGTATCTTGAGATAATGAAACACCAGAATCTTCTTTCTCATCCTTGGTTGACAAAGTTGGTTCTGTCAGTGATTGCGAATTCTTGACATCTCCAAAATCAATATTCAGTTGAGACGATGAGGAATTCTTGGCCTGCTTAGTTAACTTAACAGACTTCTGGGATTCTGACAGGATGGTCTTGCGGGTGCTTGAAAGAAGGGGGAAATCTTCATTTGACAGCTCAAATGACCTTGAATTAACATGTGCGTCTGATCTTGAATTACCATCCATTACTGCCCTTGAAATACCATCCATGACAGGCCTTGAATTAACATCCATGGTTGCCCATGAAATACCATCCATGTTTGCCCTTGAAATACCATCCATGTCTGACCTAGAATTACCATCCATGTCTGTCACAGAATGAATCTCAGGTAACTGAGCAGAGTCAGCAGACTCTTGGACTTCTGACATGGCTTTGTGAACGCTTGGAAGAAGGGGGAAATCTTCTTTTGAGAGCTCAAAAGGCTTTGAATTACCATTCACATCTGCTGTCTCAGAATGAACGCCCACTTCTGGGTTTCTTGGAGGTGATTTGTGCAGTGAATAATGATTCGTATAAGTAAATCTCCTTGGCCTGGACACTCTTACTCGCATGTCCCAGTAGGAATTATGAGCCTGCAAGATTCAACCAATGTGGAGATGAAGTGAGTTGTCACAATATAAATAGATGAAGTTTAATAACAAAAAACACTATACCATGTCCGGTATATATGTCCCTGTTCCTCGTGATTTTGCTCTTTCTTCAAGGCTGTAACTTCTTGGGGAAACATTTGGATGATAGAGCGTTTGTCCTGGGACATAGACATCAGTACCCGTTTGATAAAACATACTCCAGTTTTGCTGCATCGATAGTGCAAGGATATCAGCCTGAGAAGGTGACGATGGAGAACTCTGATGTGCAGTGACTGGTGTGGCATAATTACGATACAACTGAACATATTGTAGGCCACCATAGTAACTTTCACAATCTCCCCGGAGGACAAACTCTTGAGATTTTCCAGTACCAAATACAGGAACAGGAATGTCAACATCTGGCCTTAGTCCTTTTCCATTCCTCTCCAAAGTGTTTGTGAAAAACTTCTCAAGTGCTGCCCCCATGTTTTCTCCTGGAAGTTTAAGGATGCCCCTAAGCCTTCGAGCACCAAAGGTAAGAGCAAATCTAATTCGATGTAAATTGGCTGCAGGTAGTAAGTAAAAAGGTTGGTAAATAAGTGAAAGAGAAGTATGTGTTTTAAAAAAGTAACCATTACAAATTTGAAATATTGGCATGAAACATCGCAATCTCTAATTATTTCAGCATCATATAAAACTTTAAAGTCATCACTGGAGTTCATCTATGAATATCTGTAACAATATCTGTAGTGAACTTGTAGATATTTTTAAACCACGTGTAGATGTCCTTCAAACCTTATACGTCCCATGGAGTATAAGACTAGGATCTACCGAAATTTCTTGAAGTACAAATAAAAAATATTCACTATAATCCATTGATGCTTTAGTGGGCAGCATTACCTCTGCTGACACTACGGCCTAGGTTGTTATCATCTCTTAGAGGATCCATGATGTTCAAGAACTTAGTGGGAAATTCATGGACTGCATTCTCAGATGCCCTTGCTGAAAAAGCACACATATCCCTATAACTTTTCAGGAACTCTTTCTGGAGCAAGAACTCACCCCGATCACATTCTGGTGTCTCTGACAAGCAATCAAGTTTGGATTTATCAATGATTGAAGATTGAAAATAATCATCCCACCAAATCACTGATACATACAATTGCTTGTGCATCACATCACTTACCAACAATTTCTGGAAGGGAAGATAAGGGTTTTGGACCATCTATAGTGACATAGTTATGTTCCCAATCAAATCTGCCATAGTAGTCCAAAAACCTGTATAGCACCTGCAACCAGTAGTGATTCAATGGTTTTATTCTTCATGTACATATAAATGCTGAAAGGGTGTTAAGAATATTGATTGAAGACTTGACTCACCTCCAGAGGACCACGCACTGATGAATGAAATCGATTGATAATATATAACACTAATGTTTCCACAGCATATGTTGATAACAGTCCATGGTGTGCACCAAGAATACGACTCTCATAATAGCACCACGCTTTGATTAAGATGATACTTCGCTTGAAAATATGGTTTTTCCCAACAAGTTGGTCAACCTGAGAATTTATTTAAATTAAAATTAAAATTAGCAAAGCCTGAACATGAACTGAAAAACAAAAGAAGTGAATTTCAAACAGAAATACTTAGCAGAGAGAATTGGTAACGATCATTTATTGAGAAAATGGGTGGGGCATGAGAATGGAAAGCGGCTAAGTAAACAATTAACTCAAAATTGAGGCCACTACAAAGCAAATTGATTGAATGGAGACACAAAGTAATTTTATGATATTCTCTATAGGATCATTTGCACTGGTCTTGACCCTGCAGGAACCCCAGGAATCCTTGTTAAACCATGTAGTACAAATATGTAAGAACATAAAAGGAAAATGAGCCCAAAATGTCCACAAGAAAGCTGAAACAGAGCAGAACAAATATATAAAAATGTATAAATTTGATATAAATGACAGTTCTGACACTAGATTTATCCATACCAACCAACATATATGGTCTACTCAACTACCAAGTTTAAGCATACATAAACTGAACATTTTAAGCACATGGTATGTAGAAATCAAAGAACATCAATCAGGTGTGAATATTGATTAACAAAAATTAAGATTTACCTGCTCAAGAAAGCGTAGAGCATAGAGTCCAGCCATCTGATTGAAAGAGATGTCAACTGCTATATTTTTCACTGTGCATTTCACAAGCTGGACCTGCAGCCCATCATCCAAACATTAAAAAAAATGGTCAGATAAAGCCGAGAGATATCCTTTGACAAAATAACATTAAACACTACTTTCTAATCAGGACAAACACAGAAAGGGAGTCATAATTTTGAATATAAAAAGATAAAGAGGCAATGATGCCAGAGGAGATGCTCCTTTTTCACATAGTTACGGCAGAGTTAGTTCGATGCCCAATGAGAAAAACTGTATAGGTAACAGGACAAGGCTCCTATCAAGCAGATTCCTCAACATGATAAAAAAATGATTAGACAATAGACATTGACATGGGGGAAGAAATGAAGGCCTCAATTGAACCTAGTATTCAGGCCCAAAAGAAACACATAGTCAGGCAAATCATTCGGTTAAAGAAGCTATTACGGATCTCAAATTTTTCAATAGTAAATGAAACTAAGTAACTCCAGATAATTAATAGTATTTTGGCAATTGAATAACAATGGCAACAGCAGCTTCAATCTTTCACAACTCTCAATTATTTTTAATTTATAGATAATAGAGTGAGACAGATTCATGGGAGTACTTATCAATGAGGGATTAAAGTAGCATTCATTTAGTTATCAGCTCTATTGTTTACTTCTATTAATTTTCCTTTTACACTCAACAATAGCAATGTCAACAGTGACTATTCAGATTGTTCTAGAGTTAAGATTTTTCTGACTGTAGTGTCAAATGGAAACAAGAGTTATCCTACTGAAGTTAGGCAAACTTATATAAAACACAAGTCATAACAGAAAATGAAAAATCTTCCAAGACAAAATTTCAGACAAAATGATGTCCCAAAAAGTCATAAATTGATGATAATAATAATAATAATAATAATAATAGTTTAAATGGAAAATATTGTTTCTAAACCTGTGCACGTATATATTGTATGTCTTTTACTTGGTATTCAGGGTCCTCTCCACTTTCAAGTATACTGCATACTGCTTGTGCCAAATCCTCCTCTACATTTTCATGACTGAGAGCTGTCAAGTCAACATCTCCATCAGGAAGATAGGTTTTTAGCGGGACAGAGCCAAATGGGAAGACCTGTAGGTGGTCCACAAAAATGTAAGAAGTTCATTTACTTCACCACAGTAATGATATAAACAAAATGAAATCAACTTATTATTGGCACCAAAAAAGCTTTTAAAATTTTAAGTGGCAGTCAAGGTTTAAAAAAACCCTTTAAATTTGGAACTGAAGGCTTCTATATTTTTTGAAGTAGTGTCCAATCCCTCAAGTGAACAATGTTCAATGGAGTAATCAATTACTATCATTCAATTAAAGCATTTCAAAATTTTTAAACTATACACATTTTCATGTTACGAGAAATGCAGTTTTTAAATGGGAGGACGAAACCTACATGTTGCACAGTTTTTTTAATTCTGGGTGCAATTTTAGGCTGGTAGGGGACAGTCTGTACAGGCATGCTAGTGATCCTATGAAGTATCAGTTTACAAAAACAACAACAACAATCAAGTCTTGTTCCACTAGGTGAGCTTAAACATCAGTTCATACAAATAGGAAAAACGTTTGGTTTTCTTGTCAAGGTAAGAGGAAGAGCACAGTGTAAAGGAAATAAAACACATAGCAAGGAAAGTCAAAGCCAACCTGCAGGAGTAGGATTATATTGATCATAAGATGTGCAAATGATTACAAGGCATTCCATGATTTTAATGGTTCTTTTAGATATCTAAATATAAAATGGGAAGAAAATGGAGTTGATAGGGGAAGGTGTCAATCTGCACACCTAAGGTAGGGTAGAAGCACACAAGAGTCAACAAAATAGTCGAAAAACCATATTATAGTAGAATGAGTAAAATGACTTCTTAACATAATCAAATCTAACTTCTCTTGAAAGGAAAGAATGATAGGGAGAAAACAGAAAAAGAAATTTCCACCAGTTATTCTAAACAGAAATCAAAGAACGTTCATAGCATACATCAAAATGGATCTGATATGTACAAATCATTTAAAAGCAGCAAATGCTAGAAGAACACCCAACTAATTGTGAGGGAAGAAAGCAAATTGGTCAAAAGAAGAAAATGTCAAATTTAGAAAACCTACATCAATAGAAAGTTACAAATATGATGATAGGATCAATGTATTCTAACCTCTGCTCCATAGTAACCTCTAATCAGCCTCTGAACATAATCAATCACATCCTTTCTGTTGACCTCAGATAGCACATTTGGTTGAATTGTAGATAGTATCTCTTGGGCCCTCTCTTCAGCCATCTGCCAAAGTTCCTCATCAATTAATAAAAATTGGTTCGGCAAGGGGGATGGTAACGAATTGTCTTGTTTATCATCCATAGCTGCAGATATCAGAACTCAGACCTCCAGCACACAGAAAACCTAGACAACAGCACAAACAAAATATCTCAGCATTGCTTTCAATCTCTGCATGCAAAACAGGCCCCTAAAACTAGGATCTTTTGTAAGAGACCATGCTCATGAAAAGAGAAAGAATTAGCCAAATTACATTTGGGTGAACCTAGGATTAAAGAGTAAAGATAGAACACCTACACCTAATTAGAGGTAAAATAAATGAGCCAAGGTCAATTTATCAACTTTGTATACAAATGAGAAGAAAATCAAATTCCTGGCCACTGATACTCCTCCACAATGATTTTGTGCTTTATGTCTCCAGGAACTGTCAATTTAATAACCCTGATTTGCGAGAGGGAGAGAGAGAGAGAAAGAGAGGTGAGGAAAGGGGGAGAAGAAAAGGAAAGAAAATTTTGCAAAGAAAATATAGGCATTTAAAATATCACCACGAATAATCTGAAATTTCATAGGTAAATAAAATCAGAGTGCACCCTTCTACCATGCTTGCAATTCCAATGTAATATAGACACATTGGCCAGTTAAAAAAAGATATTTATGCAGGAAAATATGAAACAGAATATGACAAATGCGTTATTACTTACTGAAAAAAATTCAAAATTAGAGAAACGACAAATTTTAACAAAGAAAAATGATTGTGAATAAATTCAGCAGCCGAGATGACGTCTTATGGAAAGGGGAGAGAAAGGTTTGAGTCATTATTTACCATTTCTAACTGACGTTTCCCCTTTGTTGTATGCTATTATGAAGTGAATACTGTGAATTTTTCTCTTGTTAACGAAGTTACATGGAACAGGACTAGGGTATCTTTCAATACAAGATAAGACTAATAGTGACTGAATAAATTGTACACTTTCAACATTCCCTTGTTTTTCATGTAGTCCCTCTATCTATAAACCAACTTTGTATCAGCAATCAAAGTAAAATTAATAACCCTGTTTAATAATTAATCTAAGGCTAGCCTTACCTAGGATGATATAATTGTTAACTGAAGACAGCTTTTAGCTTCCTTGCCTAATTTTCAAACCGTTTATCTTCATAGATATCAGTTACTGCCTTAAAGGAACTTATAAAATTTTATGGGCATATGTTGTATAGAAAACCTAAACCAATTAACTTCAAGGGCTTCCCAGCCGGCAGGCAAATCTATCAAATCAAGCAGTTCATAAATATCTGGGATTTAGTATAAATAATAACAATAACAACCCCCAAGCCTACCAATAGGCAAGGTCAGTTACATGGATCAAGCAATGCTGTTTTGCCCCATCAAAATCCAAAAAACTAGAAAAGAACATTTAACTCGGTCTTTTTAAAGGGTTTCTTGTAACACTTCATTCTATCTTCCTCCACCTCTGTCAATTGGGTTGTCATCCATTTGATCCATGATTCTCATTGATGGTTCTATTGATCTACACATGACCAAACCATCTTCTCATTAACAGGAGTTAGTCTAACTTTTTCCCAATAAATTTTTGTTCCTTGTCTTTTCCGGTTAGTCAACTCATCCACCCCACATTTTCATCATCCCCTGCATTTTTTTCTCTCTCCTGTTGGCACTTTCCTGCCCAACATTTAATGCTGTAGAGCATTGCCAGCCCAACAGTTATCCAATATAATGCTTCTCCCTCAATTTCCTTACCCCAAACCACGACACTAAAATCGGGTAATTGTGCAGGAATTTAGTACTGTAAAACCAGATTGAATTTAAAAAGGCTTGATATATATCCTCTTCAATTTGCGAAGAAGAACAAGTCAAGGATGGGAGAGAAGTTTCCTCACCATGATTTCAGACATTACAGCATATCATAAACATGACAAATATCTAGGTTCACACAAATTCCAATTAAGCACTCGATTTGAAGGAAGAAGAGGAAAAACACAACAATAACAGTAATAATAACACCCCAATCCCTAGTCCCAAACCAAAGAAGTAAAAAAATCGTTCTTTAAGCAGGAAACGCTAAAAAAACTCCAACAAATTCAACTCCACAAATAATGAGGATCAGAGAAGGTACATTGACCAATGATCTACAGAAAACCGAATACTCGAAAACAGGTTACTTTGGGGTCTCAGAATTTCTCCCATGAAACCCCATTACAGCCATCACGTCCTGCACCAAATAATAATCACCCACAACAACAAAAGTTAAGGGAAAGAGAAGTTTACCCCCAAAAACGCAGAAAGTTTCAAGCTTTTGTCTCGGATGCAGTTGGGTCGCAAGCTCTGATCCTCGTCCCCAACGCTGTGACCACATCAAAGCCCTAAGGAAACCCCTTCTCCTTCAAAGCCATGGCCCACAACGTTGGTAGTTGCTCATTCTAATGTGTCAGAAACCAAGATCATTGTTCTTTATATATCCCAAAATAATATAAATAAAATATAAAAAAAACCACCTAGATTTTGAAGGAAAAAAAAAACCGCATCTTTAGTCCCTTATTGATCCACGTGTACTGTTTGACGGGATTTTGATCACTTCACTTTAAAAGATAAAGACGGTTACATCCCTTCCATCGTATTTTTCGGTATGTCGTTTACTCTCATTCACCCTTGTCAACCACTATCTTCATCGTGTTCTTACTTTCAACCCAACCTCTTTACTGCAATTAACTGCTCTGGTTCTAATGTTCCTAACTTTCTCCCTAAATCCTGCGAAAATGGTTACCACATTGAAAGGGGTTTGGAGTTTAGTACAGGAAACGCGTTTTTCCGGCAAGAGAGCGCCACCGGCAGAGATCTCGCCGTGCTTGCCGCTTCCTTGCACAAAAAGGGTAACGGAAGCTTGCGTGTTCTTGATGCGTTGTGTGGGTGTGGAATTCGGTCGCTCCGGTATCTGGCGGAGGCCGAGGCAGATTTTGTGGCGGCGAACGATGGGAATGAGAACTATGGAAGCACAGTTGTGGAGAATTTGTCTAGGGTTTCGAGGGAAGAAGAGGGGAAATGGGTGGTTACTCATTTAGAAGCTAATCGTGTGATGATGGATTATTATTTGAAGAAGAGTTTTTTTGATTTTATTGATGTTGATTCATTTGGGAGTGATTCTTCTTTCTTAAGGTCTGCCATTAGTACATTGAAATTAGGTGGATTGCTTTATGTTACTTCAACTGATGGATACTCATCTGGTGGCCACCGTCCTCATCAGTAAGATTTAATTTTTCGTTTCATGTTAGACTCTTAGTTTCATTGTAGTCGTTAATTAACTAATTCTAATGTGGGGTTACTAGGATGCTTTACTGAAATTGATGGTGTTTTTTTTTTTTTTTCTAAACATATGAGGATTGTTATGTCTGGGGTTTGCATGTTTTGTTGTAATGGATTTGGGGACCCCAGTTGGTAGTTGGTTGACTTTGTACTTTTTTCGTAGTTCTTTAGCTGCATATGGAGCCTATGTGCGCCCCATGCCATATTCAAATGAGGTTGGTTTGCGAATGCTTATAGGTGGGGCTGCTAGGGAGGCTTCAGTGTTGGGGTTTCATATCACCCCTTTGTTTTCTTACTATGCTTTTCATGGACCTGTTTTTCGAGTCTTGCTCAGATTGAATCGTGGGAAGATTCATGACAGTAGGTAATAAATGTATCATTTTTTTATTGGGTTCTCGTTTAATTGCTATTTTGTTTCTCTTTTGTTTATATATATATATATATATATATATTATTTATATTTTTTTTCACTACTGTAGGCATTATGGTTACATTGGATACTGCCACCAATGTGGGAATTCCCATGAATTTTCTTGGGATCAACTTGGCCAGATGAGTTGCTCCTGCAGTGTGCCAAAGGTATGGTCTGGTTCGTTTGAGACTTACTCGTCGAGTTTTGTGCATATTTTTCAAATAGCAAGCTATGTTTTGACTTGTGTAGTCAACGAAGTTTTTTGAGCATCTCTATTCTTTTTATCCTAAATTCCTATTTAAACAGTTACTGCATAAGAAATAGTCAGCTTCAAGTATATTCATTGCTTTTACTCGGTAATTGTAAGCTATAATACGACTGAAGTAAAAAACCGCCCTGTTGGATTGATATTATTCACGAATGTTTTGTATTTGCCATTTCTGTCAATTGTTTTAACAAAAGATATATGGAACAGGAATAAGATCCATTTTTCTAAGCTTTGTTGCACAGGATAAAAGGTTGTTTATACTCTACAGAAAGTTTATATTGGAAATTGTAGCATTTAATAGTATATATTAAATTGCATTGAATTCTGTAATTTTTTGTAAAAACTTACAAAGTCGATATATTATTTGTGTGGCGCGTAGTTCAAATTTCAGAAACTTCCTATGAATGCATAAATTACTTTCTATTTCATCTCTTTTTCAGGTTTCAAACTCCCTTGTGGTGTCAGGACCACTTTGGACAGGACCTCTGCATGATGCTCCCTATCTTATGGACATGTTAAATCTGGCCAAGCAGTGGGGCTGGATAGGCTGTGATGGTAAAGATAGTCTTGAAAAGCTTATAAAATTGATGGTGGATGAAAGTGACCCCAAGTTGCCATCTGGGTACATCAAGTTGGATGAGGTGCGTCTTGTTGAAATGATATCTTTGTTGCATGTAAAATAATGTTACCAACCCTGGTAAGAAGAATGGTTAATGGTGGTTTTTTGTGTATTTATCCAGATGGCAAGCCGTGCAAAAATTAATTCTCCACCTCTAAAGACCTTGATGAGCGCCATGCACCAGGTACTGTATAAACAATCTTTTATATGGTAAAAGAATCAAGTTATGATTGTGTTCTTTATTGATATATATTTCTCCTGTGGATAGTGATCTTTGTTATGTTAAAAACAAATCTAACTTGCATCTATTCCAAAATTGCATTAAAGGATTATTGATCATTGCATTGATTAATGATGTCAACATCATCTTTGAATTGTATGTCATATATTGTTGGTTTTTATGACACAAAAATAAAAAAAAAAGATAAGTAAAAATGCGTAAAATTACGAAGGGAATGAATGAAATTTTTTTTTTTAATCTTTATTTAATAACAACAATATATTTATAATTATTCAAATAAAACATAAACTAATTACGAAGTTAAGATTTAACAAACTAATATTACTCTTAAAATGTGGAAACTACTTATTTAATAAGATACTTATTTAATAAACTGAAACAACGAAAACAAGTTACAAAAGTGTATATTGTTAACATATATTAATTCAAATTCAACAAAAGAAACTACTATGTTAAGCCATGAAATCATTTATGGTACATTTAGTTGCTCACATGGAACAACAGCTCTTTAGGTAAATGACTCAAAATTTTACTTAGTTACTTAAACTGAAAACCAAAGAAAGATGTCTTTTGTTCTATATCATGTCATCATTGTCAGTTTGATTACTGAGGCTGGTTAGATGAGATAATGGGATCGTGGATGGTTCATGTTGACTCCAGATAAAGCTTTAGAAACCGAACATTTTACCAGCTTTCTATGTTGGCTTATTGCAGAAGGGTTATGCTGCTAGCAGGTCTCACATATCCACAAATGCAATCAAGACAAATTGCCCCATGACAGAATGCATTAAGATTGCCAAAGAACTTCTGCAAGTTTCCATCGCTTAATGATTTGAGTGCTGAAGCCTGAAGGTTACTCTGGCTGCAAAACCACTTGCACGTAATGCCATCAGAGCAAACTATGCGTGGTTAATGCTCACAAGGGTGGAAGGTCATATCAACTTTCTTGGTCATATCAAATTTTGTGCCCTAACATCTGCTACCCAATATGGAATTATGGATGTGCCTTGGTATTTATTCGATAATTCAGTTTACATCACTCTAAGTCTAACCGCTACTAGTGCTCAAGTTTTTAGACTCGAGAATTCCCAAATACAAGTAGTTAGTGCCAGTATATGATAGTAATTTAGCTAAAAAAAAGTCGAAGAAATGAATGGACAAATTCCTGGCACATACGGTGCAAAGTGAAACACGAGTCACTGAAGACTTAGTAAGCATAATAAGTAAACTGAGTATGTGTTTAGAAACTCGTCGAAAAACTTGTAAATATAAATTCAACGCAGAAGTTACAACTTACAACTAGTAATATTAAAATAAACGTGGATTCGTGATCATTTAAAAATAAATTCGGGCACACTATGAATTTGTAACATCTAAGAATATCTTATAAAAGCATGAATGAAATAATTATATTTGTACTTCCACGTCAAGAGACGTAAGATTGTATAGCGCACAAAAACCAGAAGGTGCAAGACCAAGTTGACCAGAAGAATTTGGTCGTCTAATCCAATTTTTTTATTTTATTTTATAAGCTAATACAGTATATAAATAGAGCACAAAGGGTACTCCAACTTTAATACATAGAAGTTTCAATGCTTAAAATAAGTAAACGGTTGTATACAAAAAAGTATCTAATCTAAATTATAACTACTAGCCCCCACCAAATACATAATTGTTATGTTCATTTGCATTCACCACCTCATGTTACTGACCCATAACTAGCAGAAGCAGATAGCAGCTGCATGGTTGTCTTCAAGTAATAGCAAAAGCATGTAAACCAAATAGCAAAAGCTTGTTAACCTGTAATTGTGTTTTTTAGGTGTGACCAAGGCAACAATCTGTGAGTATGTAACTACCACACCATACCAAACAATAATTCTTACGATCAATATTTCACAACATGAGTCGTAGTTACTTCACATACCATAGCAAGTTAAGCAATTTGCCAGGTTAGATGCCCAACAAATAAATGGATGAAAGAACATTTTATTAAGCTTAATCCAATTCCAATACCTTATTTTAATCTAGTAACTCTTCAACAGAAAAAGATTTAGCAGTACAATTCAAAAGGTCCAAAAATTGCAAGAGCTGGACAGGGCTACAAGAGTGGATCTGGCATCACTTCTTATCCTTTCTATATTGATTTTTAAAGTTGCATATATCATCCTTGGAACTGCAGCAATTCACTGGTAAAATGATTACTCAGTTAGATCGAATTTCATTGTTTGGGAGATGAATCCCAGGTCTTAAAATCCGTCTTTCCAACAGTAACGTATTTTCTGTTACTGTTGTATCCATTTAGTTATCCCACACTGGCATGTTTGGTTTCTTGGCATCATGAAAAACCAAATCAAACCAATGAAACCAAACTAGTTTGGTTGATTTTCTTACTATTATGACTTAGTTTAGTTTGTCAAAACTGCAACGTAGGTTCGTAGTTCTGACGCGTAGACTAAAGTTGTTTTCAACCGCAGTATATTTAGTGTGTGCTTGGAAATTTATTGAAAAACTTGTAAATATAAATTCAATATAAAAGTTATAACTAAAATATAGATAAATATTTAAATGTGAATCCAAACATGTTATTAACCATTTAAATCAAAGAAAATTATATACAGGTTTTATGCCCACATGAGTTGTAAAAATGCTAAACCAATTTGTAAAATTTGCATTAACTGCTAACTTGTTATTACTACTGTGTAGGGGTTTATTGCATATGATTTATATCCTAGTTATTAAATATTTCTGTTTATCACATTTGGTGACACACGCACACATACATCGCATTTTTATGTACTAAAATTTACGGCACATTGTATGAACTGAGATAATTACGGCAAGGATCATCTAAAAGCTGCGATCAGCGATAATTGAAGCGTGTTTGTAAGTGCGTAGGAGACTTTTGTTTGACTCTTTGAAAGCGTTAAATTTGGGTTTCAACCCTAGAATAAACCCTTAGTCATTGTTGTCCTCAATCAAACACTTAGTTAGGCCAACTTCAATTCCTGATAGTCTAATGAGAATCATTCGGTGAAATAAAATACAATTTATGTATTAAAAAGCATGTGTCATTTATTAATCCCAAATTGGTGACTAAATTTAATTGGTTAATATAAACAATGAAACTTTCTCTCTTTTTTCTCATTATATAAAAATTACTGAAATTATTTCAAATATATCAAAACAATATTTAGTTAATTCAGTTGCACGTTTGAATTTGCGTAATTTCAATAGAAAAAAATTGCGTAAATTCAGGTATATTTTTTTAAAACACTAAATAAACTAATCCAAACAAAATATAAATTACAAATAGATCCACTTTAGACTATGTGATGGAGATAGAATAATCTTCGGGTGTGTGTGTGTGTCTATATATATATATATATATATAATTTTCAATATCACACTAGAATTACAAATAAATTTTCCCAAGAAAGTGACCATAACCATCGAGCCTATTTGTCATAAAATTGAGTAGAATCGATGGATTGATATCAATAGAATTAATTTTAATTTTGGATCATTCAACGTAATTAAGATGTGCCAAAATTAATCTTAACCATAAATTATTATTAAAACGTGCATTCTTTATTAAACGCTGCAAGAATTTATTTTCCTACTATAAACCAATCAGACACTATATAATTAGGCTCTCTTTTTCCCATAACAGTTTCAAAAACATCATAAATCCATTTACATCCACATTTAGGACAAACCATGTGATCATGATACATGAGCTGCGGGCCATCTTGTACACATTTTATTTGAGATGGAAACACCAAGATATGGAATATTTTAACTTTAGCGTGTGACCAATAAATGATACAGGAGTAGAAAATAAAACATGCAGAGGTTTATTATTTAGTTTACTTTCATAAAAGCAGCGAATCCAAAATGGACGTTGCATCAACTTCTCCTTCAATAGATATATCCATACATAACAGGTGTATGAGCTACTCTACAGAGTGAGATACTGTAAATGGAGTGAAAATGTACAGTTGACAGTCGTGAATATCAACTCGAGCACTGAATGATGACACTGCATCTTCAGTTACTACCTTGTGCTGCAAGATAATAAAGGTACATTTAAGTAAAAACAACAGTGGCAAGGGAATTTTTTTCAACAAAATAGGGAAAGTATACTAAGATAACAAAGCAAAGCAAAGCAAAGCAAAACAAAACCCAATAACAAATTCATATAGAAAAACTTTGGAAGAGGTTATGGAAATAGCTTATAGCTTCCATAAGTTCTTTTCAACTTGTTTCAATAAGTTTTTCTGTATAACTTATCAGAATAAGCACTTTTTAGCTTATTCCAAGAAGTTTTATGATCAAATTTATAGAATAAGCCTTCGTATGAAAAAAAGCTAATTGAATTAGTACTTAATTTACCACTATTCCTAGATGCAACTTGAGCAGTTTCATGCAACTAGGCTAGCTTACCTGCCACAAATCCCTCACAGAAACATGAACCCCAGATTCAAGCCCAAGTGCTTCCCATGAAGCTGTTACAGTAGCAACTTTTGTACACCGATTCCAGAGAGCAACAACCAATCGATTTCCTGACAAAGGGCCTGCCCAAACCTGGAAAGATGTAAAAGTAAGGTCTAAATCTAGCAAACAATAACATATGCACAGCTTATAGATGTCATATTAGTCAACATACTTTGTATTGAGAAATATAATACGGATGGTCAATATCTGTATATTGAATGTTGTGTATACTAACAGGGTAACAGGTGAAGTTTCAAAGACAGATCAAATGGGTTTAGTACGGATATGCTTTAGAAGTGTAAAATTAGCAAGACAGTGAAATTATCTAAATCTGAGATGAAGACACTTAAAAGCTTCTTGCTCCAGATAGAAACCATTAGAATTGTAAAGCTAATGTAGATGATTGGATTACTAAGTAGTTATTTGGGATTTTGATTTCGCAACTAGGGTTTTAGACTTAGGATTATTTTGCATTTATGGATTTTATTATAACTTAGAGTAAGTTTGTTTGCTTTATCATTTTAGATTTGGTTAGTTTATTATGTTTGGAAGGGGCCTTATCATGTTTGGGGTTTGTTGGTCTGTATATATAAATACTCCTTGTACACTTTGAATGGTTTTGACTATTGAATAACAACTATTTCAATTCAAAAGGAACATGAAGTTTATTCAAAGCAGCACTCCGCACACTAGAGGATCGGTCCAAATAACTACCTAGTAATCCAATCAAATCTACATCAGGAGCATGACTACAATGAACCTGTAAAACACACAAAATGCCAAGCTTTCTCCCATAGATGCACCTTGGAGGATACAGAATAGATTACCTGTCTGCAGCCATCTGCTCCAGCAATTTGAACTTTCCTTCCCTGGACTCCAAGTGAGTCTGCAGCAATACATAAGAATTAGTAACCTTGTTCATTTAACCTTCCTGAATGAGATAAAAGAAAAAATTAACTAGATAACAATATAACCAACACCACACACACAGGCATTATGCATCAACTTGATAACAAAAAAAGAGATCTATCAAAAAGTATTATTCAATAGCCAAAACCATGATAAGGCCCCACTTGATAACAAAACATTCAATAGCCTAATACATCAACTTATCAAAAAGAATTGAATAATCTATTGCATCAACTTGATTACAAAAATAGAAAAAAGTGGTACCACCTTGGTTTATTGCAATGACTTCTTTATTGCTCAAAATCTCAAGTGTTTCAGGAGTCAAATTTCTTACATCACAACCAATCAATAGAGGAGCCTGCACACACAAGTATACCATTTTGAGAATGTGAAAGTTTCTAATATAATATTTGTGTTGTGATCTTTGCAAGCTTGTCTTTACACTTTATTCACATGAAAGTATTGCCAATACTAATGAAACTAAATTCAGACTAGCCGTTTTTCTATTTTTATCAGATCAGTTTTGCCACCAATGCCTGCTATCCCAATATCTAATATTGATAGCTAAATTATCAGGCAACATATAGAAAAACAGTAAATGACAAATGAATATTGAGAGAAGATTACCAATCCCGTATAGACATGCAAAATCAGTCTGTCAAATCCCTACTACTTTGTTTGTTTTGGTGGAATAAACTAAGGATGAAAAAGTGTAGAAAAGAAAGTTTTCATTTGTTTGAATGTTTTATTTTATATGAATGAAAAATAATATTTTTCGTGAAGCCTACCACTAACTTTTCTGACATAAAATGATTATTTTTTGGGTGAAAAAATTTGTGATATATATATATATATATATATATATATATATATATATATAATTGAAAATAATTTTAAAAATAGTATAAAAATATTTAAAAATAATATACTAAAGCTTTTCATCTTAGTTAAAATAATTTTTTTAATTTTATTATAAAATATTTTTCATATAAACTCTCTTTTTATCTATTCTCTTTTTCACTCATTCACACAAATAAAGTAAAAAAATTTTGGTGCATTCTCTCTTATTTCTGTCAATTCAAACAACAGATTTTTTCAATCTCATTTCTCATATATTTTTTTCTTACCATTTTTTTTTCTATTTATTTTCCTTCTACTCATGTTCTGTTTTATCCAAACATAGCATAAAGGAGGAGAAGGAGGGGGGACTAGGAACTAAGAGCAACAACACCTTTGCTAAAGCCCATATGCTGAAGTGAGCACGGTATTCCTGGTAAGTCATGCCACCATTGCCAACTTCCAACATATCTGGGTCTGTCCAGAAACAGTAATATGAGGAATAAGAAAGAATTGTTTCTGGGTTTGCCTTGCATTTTCAATAAAATTTCAAGAAAGACACGTACCATTCCATCCTCCTGGACCAGCATATGCAGCCCACTTATCATTAAGATCAGCAATGGTTGTCATGCTAAACAAGAAAAACAACAATTTTAAGAATTAGACTACCCTGCAGATAATTTATAGAAGAATGCTAGTTGATCATATGTTAAAACTTTGTATTGAAATAACAGTGACACATTGGCACAGCATCTATGATTAGACAAGAAGAACAAAATTTAAAAAATTTCTTCTAGTAATAAATATACAAAAACATCATGAGAATGTATTAGATTATTTCAAAGCAGTCAAACCTAAAATAAAATAGATGGATGCTGCAGTATGTCCCAGCCACATAAACATACTTAATACCTAACTCTATGCTAATGTCAGCTCCATCATCGCAATCCAATAATAAGATTCAGCTGGGTAAGATTATTTGAGATTCAAGGAATGCACCCACTTATCTTCCTACTGTTCAGAGAAAGAATGTATACAGGAATATATTCTTAATTCTTTTTCCTATCGTGGTTACTAGAAATAGATGGAAAAATACCATCCTCCTTCTGCCCTCATTTATTCCTACCCTTTGCTTGTTACTTTCACAAGTCTACTCATCCCTACAACCTTCCTCATATTTTCATTCCCATCAAGCCAGGGCCACAAAAAGAGTAGCCATTACAATACTAAATATATTCCAATTAGTTGTTGGCACGTGCACAATGTATATATACTCGTCATTCCCTGTTATTCTAAAGTATAAAGGACTGAAGGAAGCAATGTTGACAAGGAAATATGTTATTCCTCTCTATAACTGAAAGTTCAAACAATAATAAATTGACAGGGATACCAAGCCTTAACATAATGAAACAACAATCCACATTTCACTAACTATATCCTGATTATAAAATAACATCAACTAAAATGTAATCTTAAGTAGTTGTTCTAATATAATTCAAAGTTCCAAATAATTTCCATTAATGTCATCATCAGATACCATTTTTCAACACGATTTTTGTTCATGCTATTAGATCAGTATTTGATAGAAACATGTGACAAAAGCAAAATTTCAATGCAGTAATCAAGGACTGATTTGGCCCCACAACTTCTGTTTTATCAGGTTGAATGCTATTATCTGAAGTTATTGACACTATTGAGCTATAAGCAACCCAGATAGAAAGCTAAATGCACCACCTATAAGCTAAAGTCAGAATTTTAACCTTGCCCATGAATCATTGATGTCTTCGGTTGTGCGCCAACTGTTACCAACCTTGTCTGCCCACAAGGCGGGATCATCAACACCCCTGCAAAATAAAAAATGCTATAGGAATATTTCTGTCAAGCTAACAATAACTAAGGTCAGATAACGAAAAACAAAAACACCTTATTACCATTCACAGATTGAATAGAAAATTTTGTGCCCTGTTGCATTGAGAGCATCACGCATAGGAGGATAACTGGAATACAAGCAATCACCTTGACTCAATTTATATGTATTAGGTTTTGTGACTATTGCAAATACTTTGAAACAAAGATGAGAAGAAACCGTTTCTTTGCAGGGATGTTCAGATTGAAGCAATTGTCATACTTCAAATAATCTACACCCTGGTAAAAGGATTGAAAGGGGGAAATTACTGATAAAGTAAAGAAAAATACTGCTAACAACAATTTAAATTTAAGAATAATGTGACTGCAAGTTTATAGTTAAATTTATCAAGCAGTGAGACTAGGAGTATGTTTGATTTCTCTTTTAAAAAGAGTTTTTTTTTTTTTTTTTTCTAAATGTAGTATAAATTAAAAGAGCAATCAAATTAAAAGAGAAATCAAACATACCCTAATTTTCTGGTATTACTTCATCATTTACTACAGAAATTTTTGAGTTGTGCTGTAATTCTAACAATCTAATTGAGCCACGTTAGACAACTAGACATTATATCTATGATGGTATAGGTCATTGCTAAGTTCCATGAAGACCATCTGAATACAGAAATTTCAATCATATCAATGATTGAGAACTATTTGATCAAGAAAGGCATAATTTTCCATTTATTTTCTGAAGAACTTTAAAAGAATTTCATTAAATGGAACAATCTCTTCTCTCATCCAAATTTGGCACTTATGATGGCTCTAATTAGAACTTCATATCCAAAGCTTGGTATTGTTTCCTAAAAAAACAAAATTAATTCCATAAAAAGATATATATATATATATATATATATATATATATGATGTTGTGGAGTTAATAAACAATTTACATCTGCAATGATCATATTAAATAGAAATGAACAAAGAGAACTCTTCTTTGGGTCTCCATAAACTCCCTGAAACATTAATAGTATCTGATACTGTTCCGCAAACTAGAAAATGAGATAAGAGAATCTAACCCAAGAAGCAAATAAATCTGCATCACCACCTTCATAGAAAAGCGATCCTGGCCGGACTTGACATGTAAAAACCCTAAAAAAGAGTTGGATGTGTAACATATTGAGCAGGAGATTAGAAGATCAGTTTGTCACAATCAATACAGGTATCATGTATTTTAGAATGAATTGTTCAAACATCTGGCTGGATTTTACAATATCATCCTACCCAGCACTAGAATATATGCCAAGCTTTAGTCCCTTTTCATGTACATAATCTGCTATAGCTTTGATTCCTGATGGAAATGTCTTATGATCAGGAACCAGTTGACCCTGCACATCCACACCCAAAACAGTAAGGAAAAACATATATTTACCAAGACAATGTTCAAAATAGACTTTTACACTTTGCTACAAAACCATTTATTCACGTAGAAAATGGGTAGTGCAAATAGTCATGTGAAGAATGCATGCTTTACTGCTAGATTAAACAAATACCTCAGCACAGCGCAAGGCTCAAAGCACAGAGAGAGAATTATTTGAAATCTTAACAGAATCATATCTAAATATATCTAAGGACTTGTCATTTATACCTATTTTATGTGATACCACTTAGCCAAGACCTAACAAATGCCAATTGAAACAAATTTTCTTCATCAAATTGAAAGTCCAGATAGATAACATCAAAAGCTGACAAGTGTATACGATAAGAGAAGCTGTGAAGTTGATACAATAACAACATTGAAAGTGAGATACTTTAGCTAACCTTCAGATTTCTTGTCACAGAAGACCAACAATCATCTGCACACATTGTAAATTGTAATATAAAATAAGTATAAATAGATGACTCACTGTTAGAATGTGCATTTTGAACACACAAGAACAATACCTATGTTGACGTACACATAACCTAAATCAGCCAACCCCGTTGATACTAGTGCATCAGCTGAAAGGATAAAGCACACCTCAGTACTGGTAGACATAAATTACTGGGAAAAAGATTGAATTACTATTATTAATTGTAAAAATATGAACCATGATGCTTGCAATGAGACAAAATATGTATGGCCTGATTGGATAACTTCCCAACCTTTGTTCCAGCATATTGATAAACAGCTCCTCCTCACAGAAGGTGCATTGCAGTGTGTGTGAATTCCGTTTGTGGAGCTCCACAAACGGAATTAATAACTTAATGCAAAAATTTATCTAATAGAATGCAAAATTCACCAGGAAAACGAATGAAATTTTTTCTTCGATATATAGTAACCTATTTCACCAAAGAAGATCACAAAATATGTTAAGAATGCATAGTTATTTAAAGCACAAGTAAAGCCAAAGAGCAAGGGGCAAAATTCCTCTCCCAACTCTTCAAGATATATATCGGCTTTTATATATATAACATCATTTTCCACTTTTCCAGGATTTAATTTAAACTCATTTATAGTTCAGTGGCAAAAGGTTATAAGTTGTGATTTTATTAGTATTAATCGAAATATAATAAAAGTTAAAATTAGAAATGGTAGCAAAACACTTTTTTGGATATATTAAGTGATGCATCTGCAAGTGGAAGCATCAAAGCAAGAAAACAATACCAGTTTCCTTAATGACCGTTTCATTGATATTGCACGCGAAGAAGTTCCAGCTATTCCATCTACACAAAAATTAAAAAGAAGCATCAAAGTTGAACCGTAGATAATATTGTGACCGTGAGTGAGAGAAAAAAAAACTTCAAATTTCAGTTAACTGAACGACCCACGAGCAAAAGTTTCTTCAACTGAGTCGGAGAGAGAAAGAGAGAGACGAACCCCATCTGAGGTGTTTGAGCCAACCCATTACTCAGTTGAAACACACCGTATTTTGAAGTGTCGTAAACAGTGTGAAAGTTTGCTCTGAAAATGGGTTTCGCATAGCTCTGCAACAGAGGCACGATTCTCGCAGAAACCGAAACAGAGAAAGCACAGAAGAAGAGAATGAGCAATTGCATGAAAAGAGTGTTGAGATGTTTCTGCTTCGCCATACTCAAGTCTCAGCACTATTCTAATTCAGTAATTCTTCAAAGCAATGATGCTGTTTGGAAGGTGTAAGAGTTTGTGTCGACTATCGAAGGATCTGAAGACTGTCACCGGAGAAAACTCCAAAACATAATGGTCTCAGAACAGTCCAGAAGACAGGCATTGAACACCAGCTACAACCCATTCGTCACATTTCCGTTATTTTCGGAAAACATTTTCATTGTTATTACATTTAATAAATTTAATTTAAATATATCATTGATATAAAATTTTTATACTGTTAATTAATTAAAAATTATATTTAAACGAAATGATAATATATAAAAAATTCAATTAAATTCATATTAAATTGTTAAAACTAATCATCATTATCAATAATTAATAAATAGAAGAAAATAACGATAGTTTACGAAAAACTCTATTTAGCATACCATGAATATGGATAAGAATCTTTGGTGTAATATTCCCCATAGTCACTTTCTGCATTTTATTACGTGTAAGTGGTAGATTTTGTTTTGCATAAAGAAATGTATATGTCTCAAATATGATAAGACATGCTTCTATATTCTACTATAATTACCTTCATTTTTCCCATCGTCCTTTCATAAGATAATATATCCCCCCATTATTTATTCCGCGTACGCTACTTCCAGTCCTCAATAATATATTTTTATTTTTTATTTATTGTTTTCCTTATATATTACATATTTTTAATCAATTAAAATTAAAAGCTATTAAAAATGAAAAAAATTAAAAATAAATCATTTTATTAATCCTTTAAAAGTTTCTTTATCTTTATTTTGTGTTCTATAATTATCACTGTAATAATATTTTTTTGCTATTCACTATAATAATATTTTAAATTTGTATAAAATTAACAACAGATTAAACTTTTGAATGATTAACTTATTAAAAGAATCATTTAAAAAATTAATATGGTGATAATATACATTTTTTTATTTTTTTATTGATTAAATTTTTTGAATAACTAATATAGAGACACGTGTAATTATAAAAAATCAGCAGATTTCCTCTTTTAAAATTACATTAATCCCTTTTTTACATTGTTTGAGATAGATCAAACCCGTTTTCTCACACGAAATAAACAAAAATTAAAAAATAGTAAAAAAAATTTAAACCTTCAATATTAATGTTGATTGACCTCACAACAATTTTCATAATTTATTTTTGAAGTTAGGGGATGTAAACTAAAACACAAAACCTAGAAACCTACGTTTAAAAGAGGCATTCTGATTTCCTCTTTTGCAGTTAGCAGCCGCTGAACCTTGAACTCTAGAGAGTGCCGTCGAACGCTCCGTCACGATGGTTGGTTTCAGATCTATTCTTATTCTCCTCCGCTCTTATTCACATGTTTTCTTCTTCTCAGTTTTCGATCTTCTTCTTCTTCGCAGACATTCAAGCGAAGGAACGGAGGTCGCAACAAACACGGCCGTGGCCACGTCAAATTCATTCGATGCTCCAATTGCGGCAAATGCTGTCCTAAGGTTTTTCACTTTCTTCTGCCTTCAAATTTTTGCGTTGCATGTCAATTAAGTCTTTGTTATTTGTGAAAAAAACCGAACAGGATAAGGCAATCAAGCGGTTTTTGGTGAGGAACATTGTTGAACAGGCTGCAGTAAGAGATGTTCAGGAGGCCTGTGTCTATGACCGTAATGTTATTCTTTGTCTTCTATTTTCATCAAAACATCACATATCTTTTTGTTATTTGCCTTATTTTTTAATTCTTATTTGTAGAATACACTCTTCCGAAGCTGTATTTGAAGATGCAGTACTGTGTTTCCTGTGCTATCCATTCTCATGTTGTTAGGGTTCGATCTCGCACTGATAGGAGGAAGCGTGAACCTCCACAGCGATTCATCAGGCGCAGGGTAACTTTATTTAACTCTTCTTGTTTTTTTTTTCCTATTTGTTAGTCATAGGATTATAGTGTGGTCGAAGTTAATATGATTAGTTATGTGGATATATATATATATATATATATATATATATTAATTTATTAATTTGCTTGATTTTTGGTTATAATTAGTGGAGTTGCATAATGTCCCTTCAAATTTCGTATGGATGGCTATACTGTGATGCAGAAATCTGAGATTATAAAAATTGTGTTTGTTGCATACTTGCATTGAGCTGCTATATAATTGAGGACTTGATTTACACACATTTGAAACTTGTTTATCTGTCCTTTTGTGATACGATTTCAATTTTATGTTGCTCTATAGACTCTATAAAAGATGAGATCCTGTCCAGGGTGATTTAAGATCACTTTATATGTTTCTCTTTTGAAGGATGATGCACCAAGGCCCGGTCAGCCTGGTCAAGCCCCTCGTCCTGCTGGAGTAGGAGCACCGGCCCGTGCTTAAATGCAAATTCTAAGTTTTTAGGTCTTGTTGGTTCAGTTTTTTATTACAAACTAAGATTCCATTGCCGCTTATTCACTAAATTTCATTTTTTGTAGGGAAATTATGTTAATATTTTTAATAAAAATATAATTAGATTATTTGATAATAAATTTACTTAGTCTACCAGTAGATATTAAATAATTTTATTCTCTTAATAATTTTTTTAGACACTAAATTTTATCAAAACTAAATCAATTGTTCACATTAAATAAATCAATTTCACAAAATTTAACATAATTCAAAAATTATTTAATACTTCTTGAAATACATGCATTTTTTTAAAATTAAGTAAATATTAATAATAAAAGTATACATTTATAAATGTTTAAATTATCTACCATTTAATATGCATAATTATTAATATCATATTACACTAACAATTAAACTAATAAAATTATGTATCTAAATAAGCTATCAAGTAGAATAAATATTCAAAATTTACTGTTATACTAAATGCATTTTTTCCCTTATTTTATACTTCCTCTGCATTTAATTAACACTTTAATAAAATTAATGAGTATATAATTTATTTATTTTTTTACAATTTTACCTGTAATAATTAGTGTTAGTTGCATGGAAAGTTGAAACTTTGAAAGTACCCAAATGAATTCAAATACATCGTTACAGCATAGGCAGTCACTGAACACAACCTCAATTAGACGCAGAAGAAAACATGATCCCCAAATTGAAAAGTACCCAGAAGCCCTTTTATTTTTAGGTTGTGCGAAAAAATACAATAAAAGGTAGGTTTTTAAATTAAATATATTTCTTATATATAATACATTTATTTATTTTATAAAGTTTGGTATAATTAATAGATAATTGTATTATTTAAATATACCGATAAGGATTTAATTATAGACCATGTTTATAAGAAAACTTATTGAGAAAGGCAAAATGTATTTCAATAATCTCTATATCTTGAACTTAATAGCCTGACCATCAGTGGAGAAAAATCTTGATATATACAAAAGAGAAAAAAAAAATCTCTTTCACTCGAAGTAAAAAAAATTACAAATTTTTATTATTTATATCAATTTAAACAAATTATTTTTAAAAAAATTAACATTCCTTCTTTTTTTTCTTCCTTATTTCTTCTTCATTTAAATTGAACATAAAAATTGACTTGGTAATCACAATCACTGCAGAATAATCTAAAAGTCAATTAAAAGAAAATAAATGCTCATAATAAGAGGAAAAAAAAAACGAACCTTCTCCAAAAGCCTTTTTTAGTAACGTCCAGGTTTAATTTATTTTACTTGATAAAAAATATACTCAAAGAAGGAAATTAAGATGTTTTTTGTCTACGAAAGATTTAATAAAAATAATAGTTGTAAATTTATCCAAGTTAATGAAGAGATGATGCAAATTTTACTTATGATGTCAAATATTTATAGCTTGAAGTCGCCACTTGAAATAATGTTTTATCTGATCATCGCATCTAAGTTCCTAACCTAAGGTTTAGTCTTACATCTATATCTTTAGAGATTAACAGTGAAAAACTGAAAAGAAAATGAAAGAAAACATATTAATTTAATTATAAGTTTCAGTCCGTATGTGTATGAACAAATCAATATACAAGTATTTCAATTCATGGAACTGAGTTTAATATTCGGCCTACCAACCACAATCTTATCATAGAACTCGTCAATTCGTACAAAAGGTTATTAATGATATAATTAAATTAATCACATCAATGCCTTTTAAATTGCTAACAAACACACTAATATGTTATTGTATTTCGTAATATTTTGAAAATGAAAACAACAGAATACGACTAGTCGTTTGAAACTCAAACTCGAACTCGTTTCATGTCAAGTTATTTGTCATCAAAACAGAAACAGAAGTATAAGGCATAAGTGAAAGATAAACGTTGGATTTGGTCATGTCATGTCGTTCCAAACTGCAGTTCCAAGTCAAGCAAATAAAGCAAAACTACTAGTGACTTTAATAAAATTTCAAACACATACTAATAAAAAAGACCTATAAGTTATACATTAAATTAGAGAAACAATAATGTCTTCGGTCACATTTGGCGGCTTATCTATATCAACATATTATATCATCATGTATCCGTAAGGACAGGGACTCAAATAGACTCAGATAATCTTAAGCAAAATTTAATGTGTTTAAAATAAGTTAATTTTAAAATAGATGTGAATTCTCATTTATTTCAACATGAAATTAGTCATGCTGTTTGTTCTGAGCAGGTAAAAGATAAAATTACAACTAGAGTTCTATTTTAATAAAATATTTATTGGTGAATTATTCTTGTTAAAAATAAACTAGTCTTCTATAGTTACTCTTTTAGTCTTCTTGATATAAAATTCTTGTAGAATATTTTAGATTATTTTTTGCTATAATATAGGAAAGAATATCTGCAAAGACACTCAGATGATGAAGTTAGTATTTAATGTAAGGTAATAAATAGTATTTAATATTTAAAAGTCAACTTTTTACTTATACTTCTTACTTTTTTTTTATAAATAATATATCAAACTAATAAACTTTCTGATTCAGCCTTGTTTTAACTTTTTGATTATTTTAAGTAATTATTATTTTTTTAATTATTAACTATTAATTTTTTAATTATTTTAATTAAATCGAAAGGACTTGAATATCTTTCTTGGTGTCAGATTGAAAAAGTATTTAATTTCTTTTTTCTCTTGCAATAATTGAATAGTATCTTATCTTGTACATGAATTATTGAATTAAAATTTCAATTTGATTGATAAATATTTTTAAACATAAACAAGTTCATTTAAATGGCTACAAGATTGGTATGGAGTAGAGAGCTAAAAACTAGGCTTGATTCAATGAGCATGAAAATCACAGTCTAGAGGACATTTGACCCAAATAGTTCTAATTAAAACATGTTACACACGGCATGTGCCATGCAACGATTATCTTGGTTAGAAATGGTGGGGTGGAGCTACTGCTTCTGCCATGATAATCTCTGAAAATTTTATGGGTCAAATATGAAAATTATTAAATGAAAAAACGTTTTCAAATTTTATGCAGTTAATAATTTCAATTTTTTAATGACTAGTTTAATGCATTCTTTAAAAAATGTTTCCTTTCACTGTCAAAGATAAATAATGCATTGAATCTATTTTAGAAAACACGGTTACGAGAAAAGGTTTAGTTTTAAAAGTATTTTTTATTTTTAACTGTAAAAATATTATCATATCATTATTATATTTATTATCTTAAAAATATATAAATAATAAAAAAATAAATTTTTTATTATTTCTTGTATAGATATTTAAATACATTAAATAAAATAAAAATAAAGTGATATTTTTGTAATTAAAAAGCAAATGGCCCCTGTGTGATTATTTGATTTGGTTCATCAATAAATTTATCTGAAAACGTTACGAGAATGATGATAAATCTCTCAAGTTCAATTGTTAAAAAAATAAAAAAAACAAATTTAGAAGAAAATTTTTTGTCAATACATCTTATGAGTTTAAATTTAATTCTACTGCAGTTACTCATATAATTATTTTTTTAAAAGATCAAGCATTAATAAATTGTCTTTAAGAATCATACACTTAATATTCTTCTTATGAGAAATAGCACCTTTTAGAACTTAAAAAAATAGATAAAATACAATACACAAAACTCCTCCTTATCTTTTATTTTAATTTAGAATACATCGTAACGTGGATTCATTAAAAGCTGGAATAAACACAATATTAATTATTTCACTTGGCTTTAAACATGAATTGACTTTGAAATTATTTTTTCAAAAAATTTATGAACCTCAATTGTTATAACTTATTTTAAGTATTTAAAAATAATTTAAAAAATAATTTATTATAATTTTACATTTTTAACATAATAAATATAATTTAAAATAATAATATTAATATTTTCTTATTTTAAAAAATCAATAACATTACTCGTAATTGACAAGATTGATTCGCAATCAATAACATTACTCGTAATTAATATCTCTATCATTTTGACAATGTTGAAGACTGAAGCACACCATCCAAGTCAGACGCTAAACTAAGTCAATGTTATGTGACATCTAATAAAGAATAATATTATCCGTACATTTTTATTTTATTTTATGATAAAATACTACAAGAATTGGTTTTTTAAATAACTTATTTTATTTGAATTGTTTAAAATTATTAATTTTATAATAAAATTATAAAAAAGCAAGAAGTTATTTATAACAGTAAAATTTATGTTTAAATTAAATAATTGTTGAAGATATTTAAACAAAAACAAAACGTAAATACAACTTCTTAATTGTTATTGGTATTTTTTAGTAATCAAAATTAGAATTTAACATTGGTAATCTTCACCCACATTAAATATAAATATTTTCTTAAAATACAATTTAATTTTAATTAATAAACAACTCCAAAAACACTTAAAATTAGCTTTAAATTGTCTTTTAAATAACTTTTTAAACTAGTTTGATTACAGTACTAAAATATTATAAAATATTTCCAGAATAACGTGTTTTCAAGCTGGTCAAATTAATTGCACAGCAACGCCATATACACTTCTTTAATTAAATATACAGATGACTTGTTTGAAACCGTTTCAAGTTTCAACAGCTCACGATCAATGGTTTACAACTATATATATATATCTTCTCATGAATTCGTGTATCACGTCACGATTTACGTATATGAAAAAAAAAAAAAAAAGGCTTGTTCAGAACTTCAAAGAATTAATTATAAATTTTGTTTGTGATTATAATTTATAAAAATCATGACATTACAGCAAAAGCTGAAAACGAAAGAACATCCGTCTTTTAATAAATAAAAAACACAATCCTGCAACTGTATCATATATATAGTATTTATAAAATTTAAGAAACGAGATAATAAAGAAGAAAATGATTTTATTTTTTTAAAAAAAAAGTGAGATAAAAAGCAGAGAGAGAGAGAGGCATGGGAATTAATAATGAATGGCTTGCAGCTGCAGATGTATATGATGTATCCATATCCAATGTATTGAATTTTTTTTATTTTTTTTATTCATTGTAACTAAATAATAAATGGGTAACTAGTTTTTAATGTAGTTGCTTCCTTTGCTTGGTCCAGAGGGTGGCACTGAACCCTTAGGAAGCATGTTCAGAACCATAGCCCCATATTTCCTACCGACTCTCATTCCCGGTAACGGAATCTTATCAGCAACCTCCATGCGGTGACTCGGCGACATGTGTCCAGCTGGGTATTCCTCCACGGGCAGCACTCGGTCGCTGGGAAGTGCAAGGTTGAAAGAGTTGAAGGGCCTCGCGTATGAGAACGATGATGTGAGAAGCAGAAACAGGAGGAGAAGTGCTGCTGCAGGGTGTGGTTTCGCCATAACTACCGAGGAAATTGAGCAGTGCAGTGAGAAGGATTTATGGTAGAGATAGAGAGAACAATGCTAATTAATAGTTGTTTGTTTATTGGAAGAGAAGTGAGATGTGTTGGTTATATTTATAGCCAGAGAAGTGAAGTGAAGTGAAGCCAACTCGTGTGGGAAATATCCTTCACATCTTACCTTTGCCCACCGTAGGATCAAGATTATTCATTTAAGGAAAAAAAAATCTATAATTTTAATTAAAGAGAAATTTAAAAGAATTTTTTATTCAAATAAAATATATTGTTTATATTTTTTTGTTTAAACTAACTAATATAAAAAAAATATTTTATTTATATAATAAATAATATTTTTATGATATTTATGTTTATCTATTTATTAAATTATATTATATTTTTTTTATTGTGTATATGAAACTGAAAATGTATTATATGAATTATTTTCTTATTTAATTTGAGTATTTTATTTAAAATATATCGCATGAATATTTTATTTAAGATAATTTGAGTATATATCTTATTGAAAGTAATTTGATTTAAGTATATTATTTTTAAAAAATAATTTGATTATTTTATTTTAGATAATTTGATTTAAGTATCAACAAACATGCATAATTTATTTTCAAGTTTTTTTTTTCCTTAAATATTTCCAAGTTATTTAGAACATTGATGGACCAAGTTAACATATATGAAAGACACTTCAGACAATAGCAAGTGCCAACTTTGAGTATCAGATGATAACACATTATACTTAAAAATTAACTCTTGCCTTGTAATTCTATTATCAAGAGTGTCTTGACTTCATTGTTGTTCATATACAAGAACAATTGAAACCTTTATCATTGAGTTGACTGCTCTAATAAAACAAAAGAGTACAAGAAGCATTCTACAAATTTGTTCAATCCAGTGCATGCTACTTGGTTGAGATAGGATGAGTTTTGTGGTATCTGTGCAAAAGAAACTGTTATAGTACTACTTTATGTGTTGATGTTATTACAAATATTTACTTTTAATAAATCATCAAACATTTTCCTTGTAACACTCGACAGTTTTCTTTTCATGCCTATGGTTCAGTTCAGAATTTCAGCAACTCTGTCGCATGCCATGTTGTGACTAATTAATATCCTCTTGCGACTTCTTCAGTATCAATAGCTAATTGTGTTTGTCCATATGTCAACTACTCTTCAAATTGTTAGAGATGCATTGATTTAGTCGCCTAAAGTAAATGTGGCAGTTTCATGGATATGAAGTGAGACATTTTTTTCAAATCAAAATTTAACTCCTGCTTAATCTTTAATGATTTTAAATGAACTAATACTAACCATTATAAAATTTAAATGACCTAATATACGTTTACATGAGTGATTGATAAAAGACAGAATGATATTTTTTTAATAAATTATCTAATTTAATAAATTTAAAAAAAATATTTTTTAAGATATAAAAATATATAAATGATAGATAAACATATAAGTTTGATGTATTAATATTTTATTTATTTATCAAGCATCATATCAATGCACACTTGAAAATAATAATTACTTGTGTTTTAATATATTTCTAAATAAATTATAAAAAAGTAAATAATTTTAAAAAAAATCATCTTTCATTTATTTTTGTGAAACTCCATTTTTAAACATATCTTAAATGTATTTTAAGTGTTTATATAATTTTTTTTCTTATATAAATAAAGTCATAAAGATTTAAACTACTATCTATCCTTTTAACATGTTTTTATTTCAAAAGAAACCGAGTTTAAATTTGTTGCAATACATTTTTATTTAAATATTATCTTTTAAGATTTAAAATAATGAATAAACATAAATTTTTAATTTATCTTTATATTACAAATTATTAATTTATTCTTTTTTAGGAAATTAATTAATGAAATATAACTTATACATTATAGAAATTAAATTAAAATAGTTAACAAATAATTTTTTGTCGGAAGTATACTAAATGGTAACAAAATAAATACTGATTTTTAATATAAAAAATAGCAAAATAAAAGTGAATGTTTTGTAGAAGTGTGTGAAAGATAAAAGTCAAAGTTGACTAAAAAGGGTTTGATACGAAAGTAGGTGGAGTTGAAGAGCATATTCAATTAGTACAATTTCCCCTTTGCTTCCAAAGTTGCAATGGTCAATTCCAATGCAAAGTGGTCGAGTCCGCGTACACCATACCCCAAAGGGAACGGAATTAAATGGTTCTTTGGATCTTCCTTTACACGCTTACTTTTTTTTTTTTTACTACAGTTCTCTTTTTAAAAAAATTAATTTTAGTTATTTAAAACTGATTTTTTATTATTTTATTTATTATATAAAATTTCATATCTATTTTTAATAATTATGATTAATTATTTAAAAATATAAAAATATTATTAATCACTTAAAATCAGTCTAACAAGTTAGAAGTTAGGATTAACGATTTCCTTTTTTATTAAAATAATAAAGAATTAATATTTTTAAATAATTAAAATAATTTAAAATAAGTGCTTATAATTTATTAATTTTATTTAAATTTATATATTTTTATCATTTTAAAAGAAAAAAATTCTATTTATAAATACATACTAATTAGATAATTCTTTTTATACAAGTTATGAAGAACCAATTTTTTTTGTTTAAAACTAGGATTATGTGACTCTAATGACTGCACTAGTTTCTAAATAAATATATTAATCTCATATTAAACAAAAGTTTTAATATTCATTATAGATAAGTTAGAATATTCTTCTTTAAATACTAAATATATTAGTAAAGTCAATAAACTAGTACAAAAAATAGAACAAGTTACTGAATAAATAAAATTAATTAAGATAAAAGAGATATTCTCTATATTTAAATAAAAATAAAATTAAGTAATAATAAGACTTACCAAATAAAATTAAGTAGTTAAAACAAGAAGTTATAGAATTAAAATAAAATCAGCTAACTTTAAAATTAACACTAGAAGGAAAATAACTAATAAAACAACAGACCAAAATACCTGAGTAAAAAATCTTTCAAATGCAAGTATTAAATTTAATTAATACTCATAAGTGACAATGTGAAGTAGTCTTGGTAGTAAAAAAAGAAAAGTTTAAGTTCTTTACACTAATAGATTCAAGTGCAAATGTAAACTGCATACAAGCGGGATCGATACCCATAAAATATTTTGAGAAAACTACAAAGAGAGTAATTAGTACTAATGGTAGTAAAATGATGGTTAAATAAATTATTTAATGCAAAAATCTGTAAAGAAAAAATATTTTATAATTGCTCAGAGTTTTATGTTAACAAAGCTTCAGAGTAAGAAAGGAGAGCTCCTAGATTAGTGACAAATTATAAGCCATTAAATAAAGTATTCAAATAGATCAAATATCCTTTAACAAATAAATAAGATTTAATTAAAAGACTAACCAAATCCAATATATTTTCAAAGTTTGATATGAATATATGGATATTATCAAATATCAATTAAGAAAAAAGATAGATATAAAAATGCATTCGTAGTCTTTTTTAACATTATGAGTGAAATGTAATGTCCCAAGGACTTAATAATGTGTCTAGTAAATTTTAAAAAATAATGAACAATATATTTTACCCATAAATAGAATTTTCTATAGTATATTTAGATGATGTACTCATCTTTTCAAAGGGAATAAATCAACATAGAGGTGTCTACGGGTCAATTTGGTTTGGATTTGGAGAAAAAAATAATTTGAACTGATTAAAATGAATTGGTTTGGTTTGGTTTAGATTTATGTGAAAAAATTTGAAAATCTGAACCAATCCGAATGGGTTGGTTCAATTTGGATCATCGAATTGTCCGATTAAATAACTTAAAATAAAAAACGTATAAGAAAATAGAAAAAATATTAATTTTTTTATTTGAATAATTCTTAACACATAATTTCAACGTAATTATACAACATTCCAACACAAATACCCAAATTCAAAATAAGTTTCAATTCAAAACACACTTTATTGCATGTGAAGGTGTTTTTTTTTTTTTAAAGTCAATGCATGTCAACGGGTTAATCGGGTATGTCATCAGGTCTACGAGTTGACTTGTGCCAACCCGTTATCCAAACCAAACTACGTTGAGTTTGATCAGTTTGGATCAAATCGAACCTGTTAAGTATCGATTTAGATTGGTTTGGATCATCGGGTTTATTGGTGTAATGCCCCTAATTTTGTAATATTAATTATTGTTATTTATATAAATCTAAATGTATATATATATGTGCGTATTTTTAGATATATATTGTGAATATGTATATGTGTGTGTGTATGCATGACTGGTTGGGCTGAGTGCAGGGCGAGATACTGAGTTGTTCTCGCTGTAGCAAGAATGCCCTGGGAGGAAGGACCAGAACTGTCGCCTTCTCGCTGTAGTGAGAGAGTGACAGTCTGGAGTGCATTTCTGGATGCAGTTTCGCTGTAGCGAGAGGGTTTCGTTGTGACAAGATTCTGCATAAATCAGAGTGTATTTTTTCTGGTTTATTTTGCTATAGTGAGAGGGCGTGTCGCTGTAGCGAGAGTGTCGCGACCAGAAAAAGATTTAGAGGGGGTTAAGGTTCTAGGAGAGTTATTTCTCCCTCTCCCTTCGATCCTCTCATCTCCAAAACCCTTTTTCACCGATAAATTACCTCTAAAGCTATTCAGGAGCGAGATTGGAGCTCGGATTTGTGTGGAGAACGCTTGGAGGTGAGTTTTAAACGGTTAGGATTTTCATTTTCTTTCCCTTTCTCTGTTCTTGGTGATTTTCAGAGTTCTCATGGAATTCTTCCATGTATTTAGGCCGAAAACCGTGTGGGGAGCATTTCCGTGGTTGAGTTCGGACGTGGGTCTTCAATCCAAGGTAAGGAGGGACTCTACCCTACTCTTTTATGTGTAATTTGTTGTTATTCTGTAGAATGTTGTGATGTGGCTGAGTTAGAAGATAGGAAATTGCTGAGATATGTGATGTGAATTATGTACTGGATGTTGTGAATGGGTATGGGCACTCGTGCCGTAT